TCAACAGAGCAGCTGTCAGGTGCCAGGCATCGTGCTGGGGGCCTGGGGATGCACAGATGTGGGGGACACAGGCCTTGCCCTCAAGATACCCACAGCCTGGGGGGAGAAGACTGACTTGCTGAAAGTGGCGACTGTAGGAACGGCAGCTGCATCAACACATCTCTGGTGCACTTGCTGTTCCCTCCAGCAGGACCCGTCCTGGTCCTGCCGCTGCCCTCACCTGCCCAGGCCCTCCTCCCCTACAATCTTCGTCAGCCGGCACTCCCTCCAGGAAGCCAGCCCAGATCCCCCGCCCAGTCTGGAGGCTCAGGCCTCTCTCTGCTGCTTCCCGTCCCAGACTGTGGGCCTGGACAGCCGGGGCAGCACCGCCCCCACTTCTGCACCCCCGAGGCCCGCACGGAGGACAGCTGACACAGGGAGGGGGGACGGAAAGGAGGAAACTGGAACTGAGCACAGACCCCTTCTTAGGAGGCGAGTGCACACACATGATCCTCCCATGTGCAGACCTGTGTGTGGGGGACCCCCGCCCCCAACTCACCCCCAGGAAGCCATCTTTGCTCTTGGTCATGGACTCCGGGAGCAGAGGCTGGAATCGGGCTTCTATGGTGAGCGTCTCCTCACTGGGGTCAGGCGGCAGCTCCTCCTCCTCGTAGCTGGCCGCAGGAGTTGACCCTGTGAGACAGGGATTGCTGGAGAGGGCCCTGCCCTCAGGCATCCACACTGGCCATGACTAAGGGAGTAAGGTTTGGAGCCAGGGGTAACAGTTAACAACCACCAAAGTAACAACCAATGTGTATCCCATTTTAGTTTCACAGCAGCCCTGTGAGGTAGATAATAACATTATCACCAACTTCATTTTACAAATGAGAAAGTGAAGGCTCAGAGGGGTGAATTCACTTTCCCAAGGTCACACAGCTAAGTAATGGGAGTCAGGATTCAAAGCCAGGCCTGTCTTACTCTAAACCCATGATCAACCTTCTTCTGGGGGAGTTAAGATCTCAGAGCTCCAGTCTCTTCACAGGCTTAGGAACCAGATGATCTGGGTTCAAATCCTAGCCCCACCTTTTGCCAGCTGTGTGATGGTTGGCCAGTGGCTTGTTATGAGGATTAACTGAGCTAATCTGTGTCATGTTAGCACCAGGCCTGGTACAGAGCAAACCCATAATAAACTTTAGCTGTATTACTACTACAGAGGTTTCAGGGTCGGGGGTCCATGGAGCTGGGGCTCAAACCTAATTCTTCTGACTCCAACCTGTGCTCTTTTCAGCAGGCCAGGCTGGCCGCAGAAAGGCCATTCTCACTGTTCCCTTCCCTTTGTTCTCCACATGGAGTCCGAGATGCACTCGGTGCTGGGCCCACCAAAGGCAGCATCTGCGCGGGGATCTGCCAGGCCCGGCAGCTGGGATCCCCAGCAGCAAGGAGAGAAGCTACTTTCCGGGGCTTGGAGAGAACGCACTGGGCCGGGCATCGTGGGCCCAGCTCCAGCCTGAGGTCAGCTCTGTTTCCCGGACCGTTTGGGGCAAACCCCTCAGCCTCTCTGGTTTTCCTCCACAAGAAATGAAGACCATGCTGGCATGAACGTCCCCGTCATGGGGGTCTTGTGGAGAAACAAACGCTGCTCCGAGAGGCACTGGGTCAGGGACTCAGAGCAATGGATGAAAGCAGGAAACAGAACCAGGCGATCTTTTGTGTCACAGAAAGAGCCCTGGCTCTGGAGTGCGGAGGCCTGCTTCTCCCTGGTTCTCTGGGTGGCCTTGTGTCCCCATCATTATAAGGAGGGGCTGGCCTGGCAGTGGCTGACCTTGATTTCTCAGATCTCTTCCTGCTCAGAGATCTGCCGAGTCTAATCTTTCAAGTGTGGAGGGAATCATGAAGCTTGAAGGGAGAAATGAAGCCTATTTCAAAAGGGGTGACTAACAGAAGTGGGGCCCACGACACCAGTAACGGAGTAAAGCAGGGCGGAGTCTTGTCAGGTCCACCCTCCCAGGGCAGGCTGGTGGTACAGAGACCACATGTGGCACTGGCTGACAGCCTGACTGACGCAAGGGGTGCATTCGAAGCAGTTTTCAACCAGCAACCATCAGAATCACCCAGGACTCTCCCCAGAATCTCCTACTGAGTCGGAATCGTAAGGGGCTAGAGTCAGGAAACTCTCCTTCCAGCGAGCCCTCCCAGCGGCTCTGGCTGAAAGCCCTGTTCTAAAGAATCACTGTGATTCTGCGTCTGTAGTCAACGCAGTGAGGCCCTCACGGTCTGGAAGCCTCTCAGAACGGAACAGGGCTGTGCAGGGTTATTAGTCTGCCTGGCATGTTCAATTATTTTACTGCTAGTCACAGATAGTTATTCATAATAATGCTCAGCATTTTATGGCCCTTTGATTTTTTCATAAAAAGTTTTATTTCTTGCCTTATAACATTTGCTCGTTATAGACAATTTTCAAAAGTTTTAAGGTATGAAGCAGAAAATTAAACACACTCATAAGTGCCAACTAGAGAGACTGTTTGCCTCTATGTCCTGCTTAGATCTGGTGTTTCTGGTTTTGCCTGGTCCAGTTCTGCACTCACGGTGGCCTTGGAGGTCGTGGAGGGAGGGGTTATTTTCCCCTGATGGAGAAAAGGGTTTATGTGAAAAAATTAAAAGCAGCTCCAAGCCCAGCAAGCTTGGCCAATGCGTCATTATGAGGGAATTCTCGCTCTCCAGCCATAAAAAAGGACAAGGAGGCGGCTTCGTGGATGCTCGGAGAAGCCTGTGCAGAGGTCAAAGCAAGCCCACATGGGGCTGACCTGTTTACCGGCCATCTGCTTTCACCACAGAACTGACTGCCCCTGAGAGACGCTGACACATGTCTGTGCCAGCAAATTAGTATTTGTTATCTGACTCTCCTCTGACAGGGACCACAGGTCACTGGGCGAGCAAGTGGCCGACCTCCCTAACCCATCCCAGGACACAGGAAGCCCATCACAGAACGTTGGTGCTTACTCACCCGAGAGCAGCTAGCATCTCTTCTCACCTTTTCCATCAACTGACCTACTTACACCAGGCACTTTGGGTGACAAATAGGTGCCCAAAATCGTAGTTCAAGAAACGTCACAAGAAATGAACGCAGAGGTTGCGGTAGTGGTGAGAGAAGCATTTTGTAACCCATTAGTTGTTTCAGCCCCCCATCTTTACAAAAAAAAAAATCACTGATTACAACTAGGCAAAAAAGGATCGCAAGAACGAGCCAGGACGCTGACAGCAGCTGAGCGAGTTTACACTCCGTGAGGACAGTCACGGCTCCCATCGACTGAACATCTACTGCACATCCGTCACTCTGCAGACTTTCTCTCTAATTCTCAACCCTGTGAGCTGGCCCAGGGCAGCCCCGGTTCAAATCCTGGCTCTGCACCTCCCTAGCCTGGGCACGTGGTGAGCCCCCTGTGCCTGTCTCCCAAACGATAACCATGAGCAGCATGACAGGGTCCATCTCACAGGCGCTGTGAGGATTAAAGAGACAACTTACACGAAGCGCTTAAAGTGAGGTCTGGCCCAGAGGAAGTGGCCAGGGAACATTAACTGGGGTTACTCACTCGTGAGGAGAACAGGCTGGGGGGTGGGAATGCGCGCTGAAGCCGCTCACCCAAACCACCAGCTAGAAAGTGTCAGAGCTGCGGGCAGGACCCCAGGGCTGCCAGGACCCACAGTCTTCCTCAACTCCAGAGGCCCTCCTGCTTAGAGCAGACGCAGAGCAAGGAGCGCAGTGCCTGGGCTCCCTCCTCCCCAGTCCCCAGCCTCTCCTGGTACCTGTCAGCTTCTCCGCGATGGGCTTGAACTCCTCTGGACTGATGTACATATCCCGGTCAGTGTCCAAGGAGGAAAAGAGAAAGAGGCCTTCTGTCCCCAGGGCCTTCAGTGCTGACTCCTGCTTGGGAGGAAGGGGCGGGGCTGAGCACCCGCTGGACACCCCACTGTTATCCCAAACGGGGGTGGGGGTGGGGGCGGGGGCGGGGGGAAAGGGACGGGGACGGGACAGCTCCCACCACCATCGTCCTGAGTTCTCTCAACACCTCCCAGTCTATCTGTCCAAATGTCACCTCCACACCGCCCCAGAGCCCCAGTCCCCTTCCCTGGTTCCTGCTTCACTCCTGGCCTTCACCCACTGTCCACTCTCTAAGCTCCCCCACCCTAAGTCTGTCCCCCACAGGCCCTCCTATCTGGCCCCAGCTCCATTTCTTCTTTCTCCCATTCTCCTCCCCTGTCCCCCTCCCCACTGTCCCAGCGCTCCCCAGCCCCACTTCCAGATTCTCCGGTCCCAGCTTCACGGCGGACCTTGTCTGCTGTCCACTGTCCCAGTCGCCCCTCTAGACTGTCCCCCTCCAGTATGTCCCAGCCCCTGCCTCACTGACCCGTCCTTTCACTTCCCCCCATTGGTCCTTCCAAGTCTGCCCGACCCCCGGAACCCCCGTTCCCTCCAGCTTCCAAGCCGCCCTCCCGGGCGCACCGTCCCCCTCCAGCCACGAGCGGACCTTCCCTTCCCGAGCGCGTCCCCCCGCCCCGCACCCCGGTCCAGTCCCCGCGTGTCCCGGGCCCGCGCCGCCCCCCCGGACCTGCCGTGCGGCCGCCTGGGCCTCGGCGAGGCGGGCGTAGGCCCGGGCGGCGGCGGCGGCCGCGGCGGCGGCGAGCAGGGCTCCAAGCAGCGCCAGGGCGCGAGCGCGGCGGCGCGGGGGCGCGGGCGGCGCGGCGGGGCCGGGGCCGGGGCCGGGGCCGGGGCGGGGAGGCCCGCGCTCGCCCGGCCGGGCCCGGCCCATGGCGGCGGTTCGGCGGTGGCTCCGGGGCGGCCGGGACGCGGGGCGTCGGGCGGCGGGCGGCGGGGCGGGCTCTGGGCGGGGCGGGGGGCGGGCCGGAGGGCCCGGGGGCGGGCTCGGGGCGGGGCGGAGGGCTCGGGGCGGCCTGCGGAGAGCGGGGGGCGGGCCGGAGGTCCCCGGGGGGCGGGCTCTGGACAGGCCGGGGCGGGTGGGGAGGGCCGGGGGAGGGCCGGCCGCCTGCGCAGGGGGTCCACGCCCGCGGGGTCGGGCGCAGTGTCCGGCGCGCGGCGACGTGGTGGGCAGAGCTGAGCCGGCCCGTGAAGGGAGCCCGGGCCGCCTGCCTCCCTGGCCCCGGCCCCGGCACTCCTGCCAGCTCGGCGCCGGCTTCCTGCACTTCAGCTTCCCCCAAACGCAGCTGAGCCTCCGCGCCCCCTCCCGCCCGGCCGAGCCGGGGAGCACTTCCAGGCCGAGACGCGCCCGAAGAAGGGGCTGCGGCGGAGGGGGCGGGGGAGCCGCACACCCTGAGCTCTGCTGGGGAGGAGGCCCAGTGGGCCACCAGGCCTCGTGTCCACCTCGGTTGGCAGCTGTGAGGAGGCCAGAGGAGGGCACTGCTGGTCCCCCAGCAGCCGATGGGCACCCCACCCTCCACCCTTATCCCACCTGCTTTCGAAAATGTCTTCAGTCATCTAGAAAAAGAAAAATTACAGAGAAAGTCCGACTCCTGTTGTCTTCCTCATCCAGCTGGAAGGCCACCTCCGCAGATTCGTCAGGGAGGGGGCACGACCTGTTCAAGGCCACACACGGGTGGCGCAGCCCTGATGCCTTCACCTCCCTCGGCCAAAATGTCCTCTCCTGTAAGTGGGAGTGAGGAGGCCCTCCCTGCGGGCTGTGGCGGGGGGCAGCTCGGGCTGGCGCAGACAGGGGGGCTGTGGCTTACTGGCCGCCCTCTTCTCTGGACCTGGCACAGCCACAGGAGTGATGTCCAGAGAACAGCCGTTGGCATGCTTGGGGGAGGACCTGGATTTGAGGAAATACCTTCCCGTCTGTCGAGCCCTCAGGACCCTTAGTTTCACTGCGGCTCTCTCTGTCCTATCGAGACCCCAGGAGCCGGGGGATGGCTCCGTCCACACTTTCCCAGGAGAGGGCAGCAGCTCCCAAGCCTCTGGACAAGAACTCTGAGCTCTGAGACGCAGCAACACCCGCCCAGGACGTCACTGCCACCCCTGTGCTTGTGCCCCTTTCAGGATATTGGGGGGTTCTGAGCACCTACTATGTGCTGGGCTTGGTGTTGGGTGCTTCTCGTGATCCATTTTGTTCTCAAGCCACCCAGTGAAGTGAGGATTGTTTGCCTTGTTTTTAAATGAAGGAGTCTGAGCTCTGGCACGCAGATCTCCGTGAGTCCAAATCTCGTGGGCGCTGCCTCCCAGTGGGTGACGGACCAGCCGACCAAGTCGGGGCGGGGGCTTGCCTCTACCACCACTTCTGTCCCTCATGGGTGACCAGCCATGACAACGCCATGTGGCTGGGACCCTGTCTTCCCAGCACCCACGCCAGACCTGCATGTGGTGGGCACCCCAGTGTCTTTTGGATGAATGACTCCCAGAGACCAAGAGCCATGGGCCTTGGACCCATCCCTGGCCCAGCGCTCTGGCCCCACCTCCTCAGAGACCCACTGAGGGCCCGACATCTGGTGTTGGCTTCCGAAGGCTTCCAACTGTGCCACTTCCAACTCATTACCGCTAATGTTTGGGGACACCCTGCATACGACAGATGCTATTAGAAACCCAGATTCCGTTCTATCAGGAAGCAATGCTAAGAGAGCACAGAGCAGGTTAGGGAGGGGAAGATTGATGAGCCAAGGCCCCTGGAAGATGAATGAGGGACGTTCTCCTTGCCAGATTATTTTTATTTATTACACTTGCTTTTTGTTAAAGACACAGACACCCCGATCTCTGCAGCCCAGCGCTGGAGGGATGGGCGTGTCTCTCAAAGCTCAGAAGGGTGTGGGGGGCCGGGTTGGGGCGGGGGTCCGGTGGGTTTACAAGGCGTGACTCAGGTCAGCAAGCCTCTGGAAAGAGGATCAATCTCGGGACCCAGCTGTGGGGAGACGTCAGCTCCATGCCTTGGCAGTGGAGCAGGGCTGGGTGTCCACCTGGTGGGCGCCCTTCCCAATGGGGCTTGCCCCTAAACCAAGGAGTTGGGCAGGGCCGAGCCTTGAGAGATTGGCCAGCGCAGCAGTTCTGGCCTGGGGTAGCCCTGCAGGAGCTCCTTGGCACCTTGTTTCTGGCCCTGAGAGGGCAAGGGTGGTATTTGGGAGCAGTAGCAAATGTACCGAGAGGCGTGATGGCTGCGTCCTTGAGGAGCCCGCCGTTAGCAGGGACGTCATTCATTCACCCATTCAGCAGATGGTTCTGGACGGTCTCCTATGCTCTGTTCTGGGCGCTGGCGATCCATCAAAGAAGAAAACGGAGTCTCTGCCTTCTAGACAAGTCAGTGGACACCGTGACCCCAGAGGGAAGTGCTGTGAGAGAGGGATGTGCACAGAGGAGTGTCCCCCTGACCGTCAGGAGGCGTCAGAAGAGGCTTCTCAGAGGGCAAGTCCAGCGGGGCCTGAGCTCAGGAGGTTACCAGTCAGAGCGCGGGGAGGAGCATTCCGGGGCATGGGCCCGGCCGTGGCACTGTGAGGACATCGTCCAGTGGATTTGAGCTGAGGGACTGCGGGGGCAGGGGAAGGGAGAGGAGGCAGGAAAGACAGGCTGGGCCCCGCCCACTTGTGAAAAGCTTGGACTTCATCCTGGAGACAAAGGAGTCAAGTCGCAGAGTCGTCAGAAGAGAGGGACTTTCCGCCCTGAGGCCCGGTTCAGACTGCCCAGGGAGGGTCCCTCCCTCCCACTCTGTCCCTGCCTCTGCCCTGAGGCGGGGGGCTCTGGCTCCACATCCCAGGCGTTGGTGCAGATGCTGCCACTCCATCCACCCTCTGGAAGAGGAGGCAGGGCCTGGCCCGGCTGCAGCCACGTTGGCAGGGTCACTGCCCCAGTCCCTGGCCTGTCGCTCTGGCTCACCCCCACCCGCTCACTGCCCGTCCTCTAGCCTCCTCCTCTTCTGCTTCCCGGTTCCCTGGGTGAACTCTTCCGGGTCAGGCTTCTCTCCGCAGGCCTCTGCTGCTCCCCAGGGAGGAAGACCAGGTTAGTGTTTTCCTCTCCAGCTCCACCCAGATCATAAGGCGGAGGCAGGGAAAGGGGGCTGAGAGCCATTTGGCTGTGCCTTTTTGTGTTTCTCCTCTATCGTTTGGGACCCTAGAGAGGCAGAGGGGTTATTTACTCCCAAACCAACCCCTAACATCTTGGCAGCCAATAATAGGAGCAGCATTTGGGAGCAAAATGTCACTGGGGACAACTGAGGCTTCTGGTGCCACTGCAGGAGTGGCTTTACATGCCTGGATCCATAGGCCTCTCAACAAACTAAGTTCCTACTATGTACTGGGAACTATTCCAGGCCCAATGACACAGCAGGGAAGAAGACAGACAAGGTGCTTCCTCTCTGGAGCTCAATATTCTAGTAGGAGGAGAGGGGTGATAAACACACAAAGCAGACAATTTCGGGTAATGCTAAGCATGAAGGGGTAACACAAGGTGGTACAGAGTGACTCAGGCAGGGAGTAGCAACTTCAGTAGGAGGTAACGTTTACACGGCAAGCTGAATGGAAAGAATAAGCCAGTTATGTGAAGAATTGAGGAAAGGGCATCCTAGGCAGTGGGAAGAAGAAACAGCAAGTACAAAGGTCCTGGGGTGGAAACAAGCTTGATATGTTCAAGAAACATGGAGAAGGCAGAGTAAGCTGTGCGGAGAGGAACAGCAGAAAATGTTGGTGACAGAGGCTGGGGCCATGTCATCAAGAATCTTGCAGGCCATGGCAACAAATTTCATTTAGATATGATGGGAAACTGTCATAGGGTTTTAAGCAGGGGAGTGATATGTGACTTGTTTTTGAAAAGACCTTTCCAAATTGCCACTGATGAATGGGTAAAGAAAATGTGGTCTATCCATACAATGGCCATTATTTGGCAATAGAAAGGAACGGAACGCTGATACACGCTACAGCATGAACAGACCTCACAAACATCCCACTGAGTGAAAGAAGCCAGATGCCAAGACCACACGTGCGAGTCCACGTCCATGAAATATCCAGGATAGGCCAGTCTGCAGAGCCCACGTAGAGTCCTGGTTGCCTGGAACTGGAGTGGGGCAGGAGAGGAGAGAGGATGCAGAGTGTCTACTCATGGGCACAAGGCTTCTTTGTGGGGTATAAAATGTTCTAAAATTAGATTATGGTGATTATGGTGACCACTCTGTGAATATACTGAAAAAACATGAATTGTAAGCTTTAAATGGGGGAACCTTATGGCATATAAATAATATCCCAATGAAGCTGGGTTTTTTGTTTTTTTTTTTAAGATTTTTTTTTTTTTTCCTTTTTCTCCCCAACGCCCCCTGGTACATAGTTGTATATTCTTCGTTGTGGGTCCTTCTAGTTGTGGTATGTGGGACGCTGCCTCAGCGTGGTTTGGTGAGCAGTGCCATGTCCGCGCCCAGGATTCGAACCAACGAAACACTGGGCCGCCTGCAGCGGAGTGCGCGAACTTAACCACTCGGCCACGGGGCCAGCCCCTGAAGCTGGGTTTTTTTAAAGGCCTTTCTCGTTTCTGGATAGAGAGTGGACTGAGGGGGGCCAGCGTGGAAGGAGGAGACAGGAGGCTGGTTCAGTCTCAGGCCCAAAGACATCAGGGGCCTGGGGTCAGGCAGCCTGTCGAGCTGGAGAGAGGTCGGAGGACGTCGCGAATGTTCAGAGGCCTCACTTGCTGACGGGTTAGAAGAGCACAGTGAGAGGAAAACAAGCGTCAGTCTGGGGCTTGAGCTGGAGTAGACGGTGGTGTCTTTCCCGAGATGAGGGAGCTGGAGGGGCCCAGGCTGGGGGGAAGCCTCGGTGGGACCTGCCGTGTTAGGATGCCCCTGAGCCGCCCACTTGGAGCTGCGCGAAGGTGCGAAGGAGTCCAGAGCTGTGAGCTATAGGAACGGTGGTGCATGGGCTGTGAACCCAGGAGTCGTCAGCCTATAAATGACATTTAAATCCACAGGATTCAAGGAGATCATTGAAGGAGAGAAAAGCCTTTGGCCTGCGTGGCCGCAGCGGCTGATATGTGACCACAGATGTGGCTGTGCCTTGGAGCGCTGAGCGGCTTTGGCTGGATTCACAGGCACAGGGCTGGGACTGTGATTAGCCAGGAAGTAGATTAATTGCCGGGGTCACGATGGGCTTTGGCTAGGCTCTCATGCTGTCCAGGCGGGGAGGGAGATTTGTTTCCTGGGGTCAGGAAAGGCCCCGCCCACATGCACAGCTTTATTCTCAACATCACGGCCCAGAGACCCTGGGTTATCGAGCCTGGCCACCGCGAGCACCGCCTGGCACCCAAGGATTCTGAGGCACAGGCGGGGCTGAGAATCCCTGGGCTGCAGCCGGCTCTAGCTGAGTTTCCCATGTGGGGTTTTCAGAGTGCTGAGCATTGAATGCCAAATCCAGAAGAATTTGTCCTTTTTGTAAAACCACCCTCCCGCTCGTCCTGTTTGTTGCTCATTCAGCACTGGAGGCTGAGACTTTCAAATGCCAAGACAGCCAAATCCCACACAAGCTGCAAAAAATGAGTTTCACACTTGGGGCCTTCAGATGGTTAGCGGCAGGCACAGGAAGATGGTGCTGGTTAAGAGCCCTAAGCTCTGCTCCTCGTCTCTGTTCTGAACTGTGACCAGGGCCAAGGAGAGAACAGGGGTTGGGCGGTCAGCCTCCCGGTTGGCCCAGGACCGAGGGCTCCAAGGCTATGGGACACTCGGTACCAAGCGGCAAAGTCCTGGGCGAGCTGGGGGGAGCTGGCCCCCCTCACAAGGGAGGGACACGTCTCAGAGTGGCCCTCGGATGCTTCATGGTATATTTCAGGGGTTTTGACCACAAACGGGTAGAAAAGGGCTTTATGATGACCAGACTAAAAAGCCTAAGGACCCTTATTCTAGAGAAGGTAAGTTGTTACGGGTCGACTTGTATAAACTGAGACAGAGAAAACTCAGTGGAATGTTTATAATCTGAAGACGAAGAAGGGAATTAACAAGTTCTGTGCCTGAAACTCGTCCACAGCAGAGGAGGTGGGCATGGGGCCCGCCCTGGGGTGCCAGATATTGACGGAAGCAGTGGGAGGGAGCTCTCCGGGGGCCGGGAATGTCCTCCGTCTTGATGGGGGTGCGCAGTTATGCGGGCGTGGACCGGGTCACATCCCTTGAGCTGTACATTGAAAATCAGCATCCTGACATATGTTACTGTGTCTGCATTACACCTCAGTCAATATTTTTTTTTTAAAGTTTCATTTAAAAACTCGAGGAGAGGCAGGACTAATTGAAGACCTTGGAGCCAAGAAAAATCAAACTAAAAGGAAAGAAGACATGCTGGTTGAGCCAGAGGAAGGGAGGGATTTCCTTAAGAGAAAAGTTGAGTGTGTGGAGACAAAGACAAGAGGGAAGAGGAGGCTGAAGCGAGGCGGGGTCAGGGGTGGGGCTGTTTCAGTTGTTCACAGGAGGATTTAGCAGAGAGAGAGGCAAGATCTCAGGGGGCAGGCCTGATGTTTTGCCCAGGGAGCTGGGGTCACGGCCCCACCGAGAGAGCCCTAGCGTCACAGTGGGTGGCAGCAGTCAGGCCGGCCCCTGTGGCCATCAGTGAGCTTGGGACAGGGAGGGTATCAAGGCCACGTGGAGATAGGTGAGGAGCCAAATGCCGGAAGGAAAAGCCCCAGAAATTCGCGCAGTCACAACCCTACGGGAAGTGCAGGGAAGATGAAGTAGCTGAAGTGGGGTATCGGGACAGGAAGGGGGGATGAGGGGGCGGCACAGGGACACAGGTGGATCCAGGCCTGTGAGGGACACGCACGGAAGGCCATCTTCTGGTTGGAATTATCGGTGGGGGAGGGGGAAGGTGGACAGAATATTAAGTGTGAGACTCCGAGCTCACTGACGTGGTACCTGCCACAACTGCAGAAGGTTCCAAAGAGAAGGAGAAGGCAGCCCTGGACCTCCCAGACAGCTTTGGTTCCATGTGTGCCAGGGAAGGACAAGGGCCATCCTAGGAAGCATCTTCCACTTTTTAAAAGTGCAGCCGGGCCTGCTTGAAACAAGTGGGGAAAACGGAGGGGAGTGGAAGCTGCAGGAACGAAGGTCAAAAGAAAGGCTCAGGGGTCCTGGAAGGGCCCAGAAGCCGAGGGGAGAGCACTGGGTTCTCTCTCTCTCCTGGGGCACCTGAGATGGGTTTTCCCGTGAGACACATGTAAAGGGAAAAAAGAGTTCCTAGGCCTCTCTGCTCGGAAGTCAGAGGCACCGTCAGGAACGTAAAGGAGGTCAGCTCCTGCCCTGCTTTAACCTCTTCCTAGCTTCTCGCTGTTCTCAGATTAAAATCAAACACCGCCCTGGCCCTCGAGGCCTGTCTGTCCCGGTCCTCCTCCAGCCCACAGCACGCTCTCTGCTGCCTTCCCGTTCCTGGGACGCGGATACTTCCGACCTCTGAGCCTTGACACTTACTGTTCCCTCTGCCTGGAATGCTCTAACCACGGACCGCCACAAATGTCAGCTCCCGGGGGTGTCCTTGATCTCCCCATCTCTAGTGTCCTCCCCCACTCCCTCACTCTCATATATCCCCTGGCTGTGGCCTCCCAAGCACTTATGTCTGTCTGCACTCACCTTACTGATGGGTTTGCATTTCTGTCCCTGCCTCCTGCCTTGTCATTAGCCTGGAAGCCCCAGGGGACAGAAACCTTGTCTGTCCTGTTCACAGCTGCAGTTTTAGCCCCTTGCCCATTGCCTGGCTGAGAGAGGGTTAAGGGCTACTTGTTGAATTCCGAAGCCTGGAGGGTTCCGGAACAGCAGCCTGGGCAGCAGCAATGAGCCCCTTAACCTGACCTCAAGAACTTGCTGGATGGAGCATTGCAGAGAGAAAGCAGCAGACAGCCTGGTAAGGAATGGGCCTGTTACAAACCTGTGGTCCCCTGCTCATAGGAGGGGTGCAGGCTGTGACCCCAGACAGAGCTCACACTCCTGTCAGCACCAGAGTGCTGGGAACGAGGTGCAAAAGGGCCAGACATTAAAAATATGTGGCGTTGGTGGCTGGAGGAGAAGGCGGCCCATGTGGTCCTAAGGCCTGGGACTGCCACAGCTGAAATTCTCTGAATTGCGCAAGAAGACGGAGGTATCTTTGATGCCCCTGCCCTTGAGAGGAGGCCGGGCAAATTAGGGGCTTTTCCTTCAAGTTAGCGGAAACGGCCTCTGGATGCGGCGCCACCTGGCTCCTGCGAGGGCTGGGGCCCGCATCTTTGCCTTTCCCTCGGTTTCTCTCTGTCAGTGCTCTGGTCCCTGCAAGATGAGGGCATCATGGCTCTGGATTATCCGGGCTCTGGGAGCATCATTTTGCTGGGATAACTGCCAGAGGGAGTGCAGTTTGCTGTTATATTCTAACCTCTGGCCGGTGTGGGATTCGTCCTGCTGAGTCTGACTCCAGAGACGCAGGATGCTCTGGACACTCGGGGGCAGGTTAACTCAGCATCAGAGGAGGCGACAGGGCCACACCCAGCGAGATAGGAGATGGCCCAGGAGGCACCTGGGGCTGCAGGAACCCCAACATCCGAGCACCCTGAGCAGAAGAAAAATTGGAGAAAAAGGAAAGAGTTTGGATGTCAGTTTCTTTGGATTTCATTCTTTATGAGGAAGGAGATTTCCTTGTGAATTGTAATTTTTTTTTTTTTTTTGAGGAGAGGATTAAGTGATTGGAGGGTTCCAATATTGTTTGAAGGCGGGGCAGTTTTCCTCTTACTGAGTTTATTGCAGAAACTCTGATGAGCCACAGTCGAGGCTGGAGCAACATGAGACAGGAGATAGACCTGTCTCGTCCTGTAGGTCGAGACTGGTAGGTCTCGTCCTGGCGAGCGGGGGTCTTGGAGATCACGTGCACCAGGGCCACACTTTCCTGAGTCAGGGTCCCGGGGGGCTTGTTGGAAACACAGATTGCTGGGCTCCCCTCAGAACTGCTGATTCAGGAGGTCTGGCTGGGGCCTCAAATGTGCATTTCCAACAAGCTCCTGGGTGCTGCTGGTGCCGGGACCGGGTTCTGCAGTCTGAGACCCACTGATCCAGTGATTGCCAGGCCTGGACCATCCTGTGGGCCACCGCAGAACCTCCCGCCCCAGCCTCAGGGGGGCGAGCGTCTCCTGAGGGTCAGGGCAGCTGTGCTGGGTGTACGCTCCCTCTCTCCCAGGGGACAGCCACACCCCTACTGACTGCAAGATCAGCCAATTAGTCCAAAGGCTTGGGGGAGGGAAGCTGAGGTGTGCACGCACGTGTGCGTGTGAGTGTGTATGTGTGTGTGAAACCTTTTCCTCTACTCTGCATATTCTCATCTCAGCCCCTGGATCGGTGACGTCCCCACTTGGAGAGTGATAAATGGGTCTGGCCTGTCTCCCTGCTCTGTGCAGGGGGTGAGGGGTGAGGTCATCAAACTGGTGAACTGGGCGAGCCTGACACTCCTGTCACTTTAGCCAGGGGAGTGGTCACTGCACTGACAGGGCCACTGGACCCACAATCTGTACTCCATCTCTCTGGGACCTTCCTATCTCTTAGTGGAAAGAGCTCCCTTCCCCTCACACACACTTTCTGGAATTTCCAGTCAGCCCACGGACCAGGACAGCCCCCAGAAACCCTGCAATAAAACTGATCATCAGTTCCGCACCTGGTTTCTTGTGTCTGTTCTCAACCAGTTGGACCTTGTGGGAGGCGGGTGGGTGACTAATCCCTAAACCTCCAGCACAAACATTTCTTGCTGTCTACAGTGTGTTGGGGAGACAATGGTTGGGACAAGGTCCCTGTCACCCAGGAGCTCCCAGGCTAGCAGGGAGGGGCTCATGCAAACCTGGGTCTGCCACAAGTATGGCCGGAGCCCAGGAAATGGAGTTTTTATGCCTGTGTCAGGGGTGTGGCAGGGAGAGGTCAGGTAGGCTTCCTGGAGGAGGTGACATTGAGGGCAGCCTTGAAGAAGGAAGAGGAGTTTAGTAGGCATACCTGGGGGGCAGAGACAGTCCAGGAAAGAGGCACAGGTGTGGAAAGACAAGGAAGTGTGTGAGAACACGGGCAGTTCTGGCTCAGTTTCTAAAGGAAGGAATCTCTGGGCTAATTGCATGTTTTCCTGGTTGGGTGTTACCATTCTCTAAAGCACTGAAGGCTTCTGGGAGAAAGATCTCAGTTATCGATCTTTTCACTTAGATAGGGGGTCGGGGGGGCACCTAATTTGTTGTCCCAGTTGGGACCCTTTTGAGAGCAGAGCGGGCATTATTAATTAGTGTGCTGGAACAGCAGGTCATGCTGAAACCGTCCCGAGCCAATGCTGTCAGCAGTCACCCTACACTTAGAGTCATTTGCATGAGAAGGGGGGTGATGGAGGTTGTGGGGAACGGTGGGGAGACCACCATGGCCTCCTGGAGCTGCCCGGAGGCCGGGAACAGCGGCTGGACCCAGCAGGCCACTCTGGGCCTCGGTTTCCTCCTCTGCAGGTGGTTGCCGGCCTCGCCTCCCTTCCCAGTTGTCGGGAGGAGCCATGGAGAACACCATGAAGACGAAGGGCGAACTGGACCTCACGTGCCCCGGACGCCTCTCGGCTGGACTCCTGGGTGAGCTCGCAGCGTCTTCCTTCCGCCCCGACCCCTGCCTGCGCACCCCCTAAGCCAGGCTGGCCCCTGGAAGCCCTGGGACAGCCAACAAATCTTCATCTCCATTTCCCAATTTCCGGAGATTCAGGGCTTATGGCAAAATGCTCACTCAATGCGAAAAGCAGAAAACATTTAGATTTATTGCTTTGAGAGTTTGGTCTGTCTCCTGGGCCTGGTTGATGCAGTCTCCTCCAAGTTTCAGAGCATTTGGTTTAAAAAGAAGAATTTTTGACAGCAGTGTTTTGCCTCACGTTTACGCAAGGTTTTATAGTTTACAAAGAGCATTCACATAATAACAATAACCATCATCACTGTAAGTGATGAGTTCCTGCCCTGGGGAGCTCAATTAACCCTTGAAATCACCCTTCCTGTCCACAGATGGAGAAGCAGGCAAGCAGAGGCTCAGAGAGGTTAAGGGGCTTGCCCAAGGTCACACAGCCCAGGGAAAGGGCAGAGTGGAGCTGCACCCAGTTCCATCCATTTCAGTCTCCTCTCCTGCCATTCTGCCTTTCTCATCTTCAGCCTGACCCGATCTGCAGACAAACAGTGAGTGAGAACAAAAGAAAACAAGTTAAAAACCAGAGGCTTTTGCAGAAAACTGTTGGAGGCTGGAGTGAGTGTAAAAATAACCAGGTGTGTTCAAGGGAAACCTCGAGTCTCCAAACAATATGTTTTGTGCTAAGATGATTTTCGTAATGATGCAGGTTGCGGAGGGTCCGGCGGGGCCGGGCTCAGGGAGCGGAGGGCTGACGTTCTGAGCTCGAAGGCCGCACCGTCCAAAACGGCCGCCAGGAACCACACACGGCTCTTTAAGTTTAATTAAAATGAAATAAAATTAAAAATTTAGTTCGTTGGTCTCACTTGTCACATTTTAAGTGCTCGATGTCCACATGTGGCTCGATATCCACATGTTGGATAACACAGATATAGGACGTTTCTGGCACCGCAGGCAGTTCCACTGGGCAGCATTGTTCTAAGCCATCAGCGAGTCTGCCCCGTCTCCTCCTGACCGTCCTGGTGGAGGGGGAGTCGCTGACACAGGTGACAGACACGCCTGCTCTGAGGCAGCTCCCTCTGCAGCCGAGGCACCTGTGATGCCATCCTGCCACTCTACTCACCAACCGAGGCCTCGCTACTCCAGGTGTGGTCCAGGACCGCAGCATCAGCAGCTCCCGGCAGCTTGTTAGAGACACAGGATCTTGGGCTTCATGCCAGACCCACTGAACGTGAACCTGCACTTTAACGAGATCCCCAGGTGACTCAGGTGCACATTTCAAGTTTGAGAAGCTCTGACTTAAGAGACAGACTGAGCGGGATCAAAATATTGCCCCAGATATAGGAAACCAAACCGATATTTTTAGATACAAAAAATCAGCATCAGCACCCCTCTCCCCGCAGGAGTGTGTGATTCAGCTTCAGTCGCAGTCGGTTGAGCATCTCTGTGCCACGTGATCAATGAGCATATTTCCAAGGACAGACCCCCAGGGGGGTAGGTGGGAGGAGCTGGCCCATTCCCCATCTCCAGCATCTTCTCAAACCACCATGGGATCACCTCCCCAAAGCAAAAGGAGCAGAACTGAGATCCGCATCTTGGCTCTCAGGGACGCTGCCTTTAAATCAGATTTTCTGTTTTTGCTTTTCCTTCCAATGTATTTGGTTTTTGAACTTTGCAAATTGCCAAAGACACAAAGTGATGCACAGAGCCAGTCTGAACAAACTCAGTCTCTTAACGGGAGGCATCTGGAAAAGGACCATGCCCGACCCCTTCCCGGGGGTGTGATGCTCCTCGGGCCTCAGTGCTGGGAGCCAGGTGCTAACGAAGGTTTCTGGGCAGGAAGCAGCAGCAAGCCCATCTGTGAAGAAAACAGGTGCAAAAGGTGGTTTCATCCTCGGGGAGGGCAAAGACGAGGCTCAAAATGAGACTGGCAGACGCCGAGCCCGGCTGGGGAAGGACGTGCCACTTCAGGCCCGGTCCCCTGAGCTTGGATTCAGCAGCTCCTCCTTCGGGAGGGTGACTCATCTCTTAATTCCTCTCTCCTCTCAGCCTACCTTGGGTTTTACTTATTTTTATCCTTGGAATGGAGTGAAGTTGCCAAAAGGATATTGTTCCACCTGCAAGGGCCCTCCTGGAGGATGAATTTTCAAATATTCATTTCTACAACTTGCTCGCAGCAATAACGCAGAAGACAAGAGCGCCTGGGGAGGAGAGGGGGACAGCGACATGGGTCCCGGGGGGAGCCTGGGGCCTTGGGGAACTGAGAAGTGGGCTTTGCAATGGAGAGACATTCCAGGACTTGACTCTCAGGAGTTAGACAAGAGGAATAAGGGGAATGCTCAGTACGCTTTCAAAATTCTCTTTATAATGCTGAAAAAATCAAAGCCAAACCTGCAGAGCTCCTGCTGTTTTTGCCTGGCCAGCTGGCAGCTTCATTATTTTGGTGGCAAACTTCATGGTTTCTCGAGGGAAGAGCCCGTTGCCCACTGCACGGGGCCTTGGTGGCTCCGTCAGTCACGATGTCCTGCTCTCCACTTGGCTGGGGAGCACGTGACCCAGGCCAGGCCAATTGGAAGCTCTCTTCCTCCAAGGGAGACACAGCAGGACGGGGAATCGTTTGGACTCTCCCGTCCTGATGGCCTGCCTGGATCCCTGGGCAAAGCCTCTTCCTAGTCTTTCTTGAGGTCTGGCTGTCTATTCTTCTAAGAGTGCATGAATCACCCCAAGGCATTTCAATACAGGGTTTTTTTTTTTTTGCTTAAGTTGGACAGAGTTGGTTTCTCTTATTTGTACTTAAGAACCCAAACTGACACAAACACAAATGCCCAGCAACAGGGGCTCGGATCCAGAAAGCATGATACAGCACACGATGGAATACTACACAGCCAGGTACAGTAAGGAGGTAAATGTATATTTGCTGACATGGAAAGATGTTTACAGAATACAGTCAAGAGCAAAAGCAGATTATAATAAAACAGTATGCACAGTATACCATGTTTGCAAAATAGATTCTGTACATTCATAGAAAAAGATCTAGAAGAAAATATAACAGTATTTATTCTAGAAAGTAAGATGGCCAATGATTTTTCTTTCTGCTTGTCAATAAAGATCCTCCTAACCTTTCTATGATGTTCGTGTCGTGGGTTTTTCTGTTCTGCTGCTCCTTTAAACGGGCACCGGCAGGCTGCCAGAGCCACACTTTCTTGATGCCTGTCTAGAGTGAAAGGATTTGCTGGGCTCAGGCAGTGACTCATTCACCAAACGCCAGGGCTCCTGCCGCAGGGACAGCTCACCTGTAGCTCTGACCACTGCTTAAGAAGGTGCTGGAAGCATCTGAGTCTCCAGAACAAGGCAGCAGTGCTTCCCACAGTGCCAGGGCACCAGCAGCCTCCCGCTTACCTCACAGCAACCTTGTGAGGTGTGGGGTCTTCCTCTGCTTGATGGAAGAGAGTGGCCCAGAGAGGGGAGGTGACCTGCCCAGGGTCCCACAGCCGGGGCTTAAGGCCAGGTCACCGGCCCAGGGCCCAGCACACTGGCAGCTACTCAGGTTTGCTAACAGAGCCAGAATGGAGCGGCTGAACGTGGGGAAGGGCTCAACGTTGTCCTGTGCAGTCAGCAGTGCGACAAGCTGCAGGGGTGAGGGTGAGGTTGAGGGGAGGAGGCGCCTGAACTCCCTGCTCTGCGTGCTGGGCCTCCTCCCAGGGAGCAGGTGGCGGCCAAGGCGCAGAGTGGACGCAGGGGACACCCTTCCCGGTGCCCCTTCTTCTCTCCCAGGTCCTGGTGTGACGGCCAGCTGCTCAGGGAGGCGCTCCGCCATCCCCAAGATAGGTCCTGGCTGTCAGGACCTCGCCCGCCTGTCTCCTCTGCAGCATCTCATGTAACTTGCAGCCACGTGACTTATCTGTCACTTTAGTTCACTGTCTGTCTCTCCCCCTTGACTGGACGCTCCCTGAGGGCAGGGCTTATGACAGTTGTGGTCCCAGGTATGTCCCTGGCATCTAGCCCAGTGTCTGGTCCCCTGCAGGCACTCACCAAGAATTTGCGAATAATGGAATAGATGAACACAGGACTGGGGTGGTGGACAAACCACAGGGGCTGAGCTCGCCTCTGTCTTTACTGGCTGTGTGACCTCAGGCAAGTTGCTGCCCCTCTCTGGGCCTCTTCCAAGCCTTGACCTAAGTATAACTATCCAACTCCATTGAAAGGACTGGCCTCACTGAATATATTAGGACCAATTTAAGGGAGGGCAATAGAAGCTGGAGTCTTTACTAAATGGTATCTTAAATCAACTGCTGGTTGACTATCCTTTCTGAGGATAACATTGCAGTGTTTTCCCAGGAGTCACTAATGTGCAATGAACCCAATCATATTTCTTATTCAATAAACTCTTTTATTGTAAGTTTACAGATTTTTCCATTACAACAATGAAAATAGCCCTAGTGATTCGTAACACTGAGGCCCAAATCAAAGCCCCTCCTCAAATTATAAAGATAAATGACAGAGTTGAACACATAGCAAAGGCTGGGCAGAGGCATTGAAAATATAGAAAACGAGGTCCAGGTTTTGTGGGCATGTGCAAACACTTGAAGGTTTAGTTCATCAGGATGACACTGTTTTTGAAAGCACACGATTTGGAAAACTATATTTATAATTTGTGATAAAACACAACTGTAGAGAAAAGGCAAAATCAAGCAAAAACAAAAAAACCCTGAAAAACGAAAGGTAGTGAATCAAATACATGGGGTCGATATGGAAACCTCTGGTCGTTCGGCCCTGGAATGGCAAGTGAGTGGGTTTCATAGAAATTCTCCATAGAAAGGAATGTCTGGGCCTGGTGTGGCATCGCTGCATCTCCAAGTCCTGTCTCCTCACAGAGGAAAAGAAGTTGCTTGTCCGACACATCGGCCCGGGGCCCGTCTGGACTGGGGCCCACGTTCCCAGTCCCTTTGGGAACAATCCCAAATCCAGGACGGGCGCAGGCGGCCCGGCAGTGGCAGGGAGGCGGGGTCAGCGTCAGCCCCCCGCCCTGCTGGAGCTGTCCAGGTGGTTCACGGGCAGCGGGTGGGCCTCCGTGTTGAACACCCAGTCTTCCGGGGAGAGCACGTCATCTTCAGAGAACAGAAGATAGAGATACCTGTGCCCCCGGGCAGGGAGCGAAGCAAGACACAGCCTGTCAGTGTTCTGGGGAACGAGGACCCAGTGGGAACGGATCCCAGGAGCCCCTGTGAGGAGCCTGTGGCTAAGGGTGCAGGGAGGCCCGAGACCCCAAATCTGCCTGGAGGGCTGGTCTCAGGGAGGGAGCTGTGGGTGGGAGGAGAGCCCTGGGCTTTGGGGCAGAGGCCTGGGTTAGTCCTGGCTCTGCCCCAGCCCTCGCGCCCAGCCAGCTTCACTCGGGTTCTCTCCCCACCTGGCCCTGTATGTGAGCCCTGCGAAGACCCCCTTAGGGCCTAGATTCTCCTTTCTTTGCAGGGTGGCCTGAGTGCTGCACCAGTCCAAACTCTGAGGCTGCTCCCTATGTGCCCCCCAGGAGATTATAGTGACATAGATGTTGGGGCGCTAAAATGAACAGGGAGTTGTGACTCCAGAACTCCAGCTTCCCAAGCCATGGGGTTCTTTCTGGAAGGAAAGGGCCATTCCAATCCATCTTAAAGGGTTAAAGCACAAGGGGACTGCTTTGGGGAACAGCAAGGAAATGGGGTGGCCCAGTCCCACCCCAAGAACGAGAGAACAGAGCAGCAGCTGTTCTGAAGAGGGCAAGTCAACAGCAGTGACCAGTGCTGACGTCATCCTCGACATGATTCCCGTCTTACAGCAGAGGACACAGTTCCAAGGACTAAGTAAACCGAGAGACAGTTGACTCCTCACACAGCTAAAACTCAGGGGTGGAGTCCAAGCCAGTCTCTCCCTGAGTGGAGACACCAGCCTGGCCCAAGGCTCACCCTTGGGGGTGTGTAACCCTCCAGATCCCAAGGCCCCCATCCCTCATGGCCTCCCTGTGATGTCAGAGCCTGACTGTCAGTGAAGGGGGGACCGCTGACCCCTCCCCGCATCCCTAAGGAAAGCCTGAGTTGCCCTCTGGAAAGAACACCGGCCAAGCCCCAACTCACTTCAGTGTCTCCGCTAGAAAGAAAGTCTGCTGCTTGTTGTCGTGGTTGGGGATGCTGCTGTACACGTCGTGGATCCCAGAGAAGCCAGCTTCCGTTCGACAGTTTTTCTCTAGGGCCTGAAGAAAAGCAAGGCAGCCTCAGCGTGGGGAGAGGAGAGGTCCCCAAGACTCGTGCCTGCCCAGCTCGCAAACAGGCAGGCCTGGAGCCCTCAGCTGGGGACCCCGGCGTTTGTGGAAGCAGAAGGCCGAAGTATTCTTCCAGGGTTCAGCTGCCCTGCCGCCAGGCTGGAGGGGCCACCCTCCCTGGGCCCGTCACTGAGAATCAGTGACACGGGCCGCCTGCCCTGAGCTCTTGCAGTCTGAACCCAGAGGAAGCTTCTCCTTGCCTTTCAGGGAACTAGAAGGACCTGACAGTCACCCCCACAGTGGGGACAGAGGAAGGCACTGGTGCTGTTCGTGGCTGGGATCTGGAGACCAGACCTGGCACACCCCAGGGCTTCCCCACAGAGACGTGGTCCCTGGGCCAGAGGTGAGTGGGCCACGGGCTGTCTGCCTTCTGTATAGAAATGCAGTTTCTACCCACTGAGGGGTCTGTGGGCTGGGCCCAGGAGCAGAGAACACTTGGCCTTCAATGGTCAAGAACCAGGGCCCCCTGGAAGCAGGGGACTCTGGCCAGTGACCTGTGTCAGGGAACCTGAGCAGGCCTCGTGCCCGCCTGAGTGCGATGCTCTGGGTGTGGCTCTCCCCAGGACAGTCAGTGCCCCTGAGGGCAGTGGGCCTGTGGGGCAGGAGCGGGGAGGTGGCGGGGGGGCACACAGAAGGCTCAGCATCCATCAAGGAAGCTTCTGGAGTCCACACACCTGCCTCTGACACCCAGCCCAAAGAGGGCCGTGAGGTTTCCCACAGGTGGTTGGGGACAAGAGGGCTAGTGGAGGGGAGGCTGGGGCGGGAGGAGGGAGCAGAACCCAGAGAAGGGGGCGCTGCCTGGGGCTGGGCTGGCTTTGGGTACAGGACGGGGTGAGCTACTGGCCCAGCAGCCAGTTCCTGTTCCAGAAGAGAACTCCAAGGCCACCTGTCCAGGCTTCAGGTCAGAAAGCAGCGCCCACACGGGCTCCGGCCCTCGCTGGCTGGCCCTGTGTCTGGCCTCTCACTGTGCTGACACCCGCCCGGGCCCGAAGGCTGCAGGCACTCAGAACCCTCTTCACAAGGTCCTGGCCAGAATCTGCCCAGCAGGAGACCCTTGGCTCTGCAAACACAACCTGGACCCTTTGCATTCTGAACCTCAGCCAGATGTCACCCTGGCTTGACCTTCCTCCTGGTGCCTGAGCTAGGGGGTTCTGGACGCTGACTGTGAGCTGTCTGTCAGGGCCACCCGTCACCCCCAGCCCTCGCCCCAGGCGCACTCACCATCACCACCTCCCAGCCCCACTCCCTGTAGATGGGGTCGTGGGTCTGCCGCCACAGGTACATGTAGCTCTCCACCACCTCCGGCCGCAGGATGTAGTAGCTTTCGCTGAGCTGTGTGGCCACTGCCTCTCTGCCTGAGTTGAACCAGAAGGCCTCGGGCCCCAGTTTGGTATCTGTGGGAAGGAGCAGCCAGAGGGCCCAGGTCAGACCTCCCCTCCCCGCTCTTCAGGAGGCAGCCGCCCCAGGAGGGATCTCAGTGGTCTGGAAGCCCCGGCCGAGCGCTGGCTGCTGATGGCTTGGCATGGGGGGCCCTGCTCGGTTTGCCCCGTAAGGCTGAGCCTGGCAGACACACAGCTTCCCTCTTGACCCACACTGGCCAAAGAAGACCCCGGGGCCTTGAAAACTTTGCAGTTTTAGAATCTGAGAATCCAGATGAACTACCCAGCACTCTGGGAAGGCAGAGGTTTGGGCGATGTCCCCAACTGTGTATTTTGAAACACTACTCCGTAAGTTGTCAGCCAGAGCTCAGCCAAGAAAGGGTTTCAGGTTTAAACATATTGGGGGAACAGTGCGTTAAATAAAATGGTCTCCTAGCTGCAGGACTTATCAGATCTTTTAATATGCTAACATGCATGATGCTTCTCCACAGACCCCCTGTCTTAGGGAATGGCTTTCAACACCTGGAACCAGCCGTCCAGAGCTGACAGTTTGGGAGCCCAGTGAGGTGGCGATGAGGGGAAGACCTGCCCAGCAGGCAGGTACTCAGGCGGAGGGAACTGATAGAGAAGGCCTGAAGAGGTCTGCGTACTGTTGTCTTTATTTGTTTGTTGCTTTTTGGACAATTCGCTGCCGTTCCTGTTTTCTGGATGACCACAATTATAACCACCACCGCAGCCACCATTCACACACATTATTTCAGTCCTCGAAAAATGTTTTTTTCCTAAGGTAGATGTTATTATTCCTCTCTCATGCATGTGGAAACTGAGGATCAGAGAGGCTAAGTAATTTGTCCAAGGCAACACAGCGAGTTGTGGTTGAGCTGGGATGGGACCCTGGATCTGTCTGATGCCCTTTCCCCAGGCTGTGCTCTCTCTTTCTGTCCTGGGTCTGACTCTCTAGGTCCAAAATTTAGGGTATGTGGGTCACATCTTCCTCCCTCGAACGCCTGCACATCCTGTCCAGGTGAGCTGAGGGCGCAGCTCTGGTCCACATGTGTGCCCCCTCCTCCCATTAGCATTCGGGACCCTCAGAGGCCCTGCACTGCCTTTCCTCGAGAGAGATGAGCTGGAGCTTTGCAGGATGTCCTACTCTGCCATGGAGGGCTGCATGGAAGAGGCACCAGCCAGACCCGGGCCCCTCCAAGCCTCTGGAGTGGTGCGGCTGCTCCGCCCATCAGAAAACAGTCGTTTTGCCAAGCTGCTAATGGGGTGAGGGCAGGAGCAACTGTCGCAGCCATCTGTGGACTAGCGGGCTGGCTGCAACAATATGCTCCATTAAACAGACTGTCTTTTATGGTCTGGGCTGATTGTCCCAGACAAATAGCGAGCTTTTTATTATTCCTGCGATTTCCTATTTGTTTACAGCCCTGGCAGAGACAGCTCTTTGAAGGGAACTAAAGACCGGTTTTAAGGACCCATTGCGAACGGCTGGCTTCCTGAAAACAGCTCTAGGAGATCTGGACTCAACCGGAGTGGTCACAGTCTCATTTCTGGGGGATGCTGACCAGCGCCTCCCACGCTGTTGGCTGAAGGCGGCTGGCAGTGTGGTCTCCATGGAACCCTCTGCCCCCCCGCCCCAAGGAGACTTGTGTTACTGTTCCCACTGGACGGATGAGAAAACAGAGGCCACCTGGCTGGTGAGTGGCAGAGCGGCACTTGAGCCAGGAATTTCTACTACAAATCTTAGGTCCTCTCCTCCCACCAAGACTGGGATTAAACTCCGTGGTGGGCACCTCCTGCGGCCCGGGGGGCACTGCTTGCAGAAGCAGCACACACGGTGCGGCCGGGCATCAGAAGAGCTGGGTTCCAGCCCCGCTTAGCTACGCATGCGCAGTGTGACTTTGGGCAAGTCACTTCCCCACTCTGGGCTGACTCAGTTTCTCCACGTGTAAAATAAGGAGTTGGGCTCATGCATCTAACGCGACCTCTGACTCTAGCACTGACGACTCTGCAGCGAGTGCCGGGTGGGCACGATGCAGGCACTCTTGAGCTTTCCAGTGGTCTTACATCAAAGAGGGTGACAAACAGGGTGCTGCCAGGAGGGGATGAGACCCCCTAAATGGGGGGATTTTGGGGAGGAAAGGGGAGAAAGTTCGGGGGTAGCAGCTCCGGGATGAGGGACTTGCTAGGCTCAGGCAGCCAATGTTTCTGCCTCAGGGGCTGGGGGACCCTCTGCTCTGTGACCCTCACATGGGACCTTGGCCAAGTCACCTCCGAGCCTCAGTTTCCTCATCTGTGTTGTGAGGTTCAGTGATGATGTGTGCGTCAAGTGCTGAACAACACCTACACACACAAAGCGCTTAACACATCATCACTCTTTTCCCTTTAATTTAGGGCACAATCTCAGCACAGACAACCTGTCCCCATTCAGATTTGACATAACTTCAAGGCGAGGCTGCCCTAAGTCCATGCGTCCCTTCTCACTGCCACTCTGCTGGTCTCTCCTGGTGGCTAGCCTCAGTCTCACCTGCTGCCCCTTCCCCTTGCAGGGTTACCTGAGCGGGCGTACGACTCGTGGCACGTCTTGGTGATCTGGGCTGCGAGCTCTCGGTAGTGGGCCCTCTTTTCTTCCTTGGCATCCTCGGCACCGAGGGCGATCATGCCCCCGGAGAAACAGGCCAGGTGCCCCATCTTGTGGTCCAGAATCCCCCCTCGCCACTCAGCAATGTAGGTCAGCCCCCCGGGAGAGACATTCAGCAAGTGGGTCTCTATTGCCTGGGAGCAAGGTGGGGATTGGGCAGGGAGAAGGGGCAGGGGTACAGAGAAGGGAGAGGAGAGGACGGAAGATGAGCATTTCCGAGACAGCAGCAAAAGCGGCTCTGCTGAGCCCTCCACCCCAGGCAGAGGCGGCCTGCTGGCCCGGGCTGGCGGCCGCTCCTGACGGGGCCACAGGAGGCTCTGCCACTCGCCCAGCCGAGGCCGGCGCCTGCTGAGGGGCTTGGACACAAGGCAGCTCCCCAGGGCGAGTCTCTCATACAGACTTTTAAATCTTCAACATACAAAATTAAAAAAAAAAATCTCTTTAAAAATTGTTGTCATCGTCCATTATATCCTCTGTTAGGGCATCTTAACCTGAAGCCCGGCTGGCCTGTGGGAAGAGGGTCCATATATTTTATCAGATTCTCAAAAAGGACTACAGAGAATTAAGAGCTGCTTCCTACAGGCCCTTGTCAGACGGCTTCTCATTTAACACCCACGACAAGCCAGGCACACGGGCTGCAGTGCCCTATACAAAGGGGTCAAGTGGCTTGTCCCACGTCACCCAGCCACATTAGGATTAGGACGAGGAGCCCCAGATGCCCAAGCACGGCGCCTCCCACTACCCAACGACGGCCACTCCTTTTGGTGGCAAGGCACTTTGGGAGCCCCCTGCTCCTGCAGCAGGTGATGCTGTTGGGAAGGACTCTTGGGGTGTTGGGGGGTGCAGGTCTCAGTCTTTGTGCCCCCCGGCTCCCTGCTGGTCCCTGGGAGCCCTGGAGAGCCAGGTGATGGCAGCAGCTGCCCAAACAACCACAAGGCTGGACACGAAGGGGCCATGGGTCATGGTCCAAGGCTGGGGCCTCTGGGGCCCCGGCCAGGCCTCTGCATTCTATAAATAATGAATTGACTGCATCTCGTGCCTGCTCTGGACCCTGAGAGGTTTACGCTGCCACCACAGACACGGCTCCTGGGCGCAGACTCCTTGGGTTCAAAACCCATCTCCATCAGGTCGAAGTTGGGTGACATCAGGCAGGTTCTGCGCTCTCTCTGTGCCTCAATTTCCTCATGTGTAAAATGGGGTAAGAGCATGAACCATTTCACAGGGTTGTGAGGATGAAACAAGACGTGTCTGCAGAGCTCGGCCTGCTTCCCAGCTCGGGGGGTCCTCATGGACGTTGGCCATTACAGCTCCTCTCCAGGCGGCCCCCGCCCCAGCCATGCTGGCCTCCTTTCATTCACAGCCCCCCCCTCCCCACGTGGAGCATTTTGGGAGCACAGTGCTGTGCTTGGTGCAGGGGACACAGCCCCTGAGGATGGGTCTGGACCCCGCCTCAGGGAGCTCACCGGTGAGCGCAGAGACCTCCCCGAAATCAAATACATGGAAGAACTACAGTGTGTGCTCAGTACTTTGAATGAAACTCACTGAGGGGCCAAGACAGAAAAAAGCTTGCGGAGGGGCTCTACTCTGCAGAGTGAGCTCAGAGAAGGCGGTGACCAGATAAGAAGGTGACGGGGCCTGCAGGAAGGCTGGGTTTTCTTCCTGCCTCGGGGCTCCCTCCCCCTGGGCTGACCCCAGCTCGGCCTTTGGGCCTCCTCCGGGAGGCAATCCCTTGGAGAGGGCACCCTGATCTAAAGCACTCCCGTCGCTCTGCCACCCTGTTCTCTCTCAGCGTGGCACCACCCCCACTGTTTGCGTATTTGTGCGTGTTTCTGGGGAGCATCTGTCTCTCTCCCAGGACTCGGCGCCGTGGCAGCAGAAGCCACCACCCACAGTCCCAGCCAGTGCCTGGCACAGGGAAGGTGCTCAGACAACGTTTTCTCCTTCACTGGTTTTCCCTTTTCCTTGTCCTGCACGGCCCAGGGTGGTGGGCTGGCTGGACCCTCACTGAGCAGCAGGCGGGGAACCTCTGATGCTGTGACATGCCCGGGTGCCTGCTTCACGTGGAGAGGAGTCCCGAGGAGGCCTGGAGAGCCGCCTGCCGCTCTGCCGGGTCTGATCTGGGCCGGGTGCATGGCAGCTGCTCCACATCACTAAGCATGCGGGGCGGGAGGGGTGGTAGGGCTAGTCCAGGGCACAGAAACCCAGCTCAGTCACCCGGTGTCAACACAATGGAGAGAACACGGACAGCGGGGGAGACCTCAGGAAGCCTGCCCGGTAGCCAGACGTCTGCACCTTCAAGACCATCTCCCACAGGTGATTTCTGTTCGGGGTTAACCCCAAGCTAAGTAATTGCGGTGAAGAGGAAATGAGAGACCAGTCTCTCGCGGAGGACACAACTGAGACAAGCAGATGCAAAGACAAGGCTTTCTAAAACCCTAAGCAAAGCACAAGACAGCACAGGCTGGCAACCGCCAGGTAAAAAGGCTTAAGTCATAGCAAGGAGCTGGCTGAGAGCCAGAGACCCGGGTTCGAATCTCGGCTCCACAAGTGGAGAGCTGGGTGACCCAGGGCAAGTGATTTCACTTTTCTGAAGAGTCCCTTTCCTCGTCTGTAAAATGGGAACAGTAACTCCTGGGCTGGTTTTGAGGCTGGTCAGAGACTCTGGCTTCTTTTGCCCCCTGGAGGGGACCCATCTGTGCACTTCCCGGACTGGATCTGGAGCCAGTCAGACCCGTGTTTGCGCCCTGGCTCTGACACTTGTTGCCTAGTGACCTTGGGCCCTTCTGAGCCTCAGATTCATCATCTGTAAGAGGGGGCTAAATACGACATCGCACCCAGCGCGCCTGCCCGGAGGAGGCCGCGGGGACAGAGGCTCCCCCTGTTCTTACCGACCCTCCCCCTGTGACCCTCAGGGCTGTGCCCAGTCGGCCTGTCCGAACCCCCCACGCCCACCCAGCTGGACATTGGTCTCACCACGCACTGGAGGCCCCTGGGCAGCTTCGTGGCTGTGGCGGCCTGGAGGTTCTGCTGTGACCTTGTCGGGGTGCAGCCTGGACATCGGGATTTTACAGCTCCCCAAGTGATTTTTAACATGCTGACATGGTTAAGAACCACCAGAATATTCTTCAAAGCCTCAAACTTGCCAGAGGCCCAGACTTTACCCAGGGCCAGGGACACTCCAGGCTCTTCACTGGGGAGATCAAATTCGGCAGCAGAGCTGAGTTCTCTCCCGTTCAATCAAGTGCTTTCCATAAGGCTCCCCGTTTGCTTAAATAATTCATGGCCATTCTTCCCTTGAAGCCTCAACTCCACTGTGCCCTGAGGGCGGGGAACCAGGCTGCCGTTAACTTTCTGTTTACTCTGCAAGGCACTGCAGAAAGATCAGAGAGGGCCTTTCTGGGCAGCATACCTGCCACCGCTAAAAGCTAATCCTCTGACAGCAGATGCTGGCTGCGGTTTACGCTCAGCCCTAGAAGCGTGGAGTGGACGGGGCTGAGACTCAGACTGAGCTGGACCTGGAGTCCCAGCAGCTGCTTCACGACTGAGGCCTTGGTATCAGGGAGCTGGGCAAGGAAAACTCATCACTGAGCCCATAGTTTAAAGGGTCCAGAAGTGGCAGAGCTGGAGCTAGACTCTGGAGGCCTGTTTCACTGTGCTTCCTTTAAGTACTATCATTTCTGGCCAGATTCATGCGATCAGAGGGTAGTTAGAGATCACTCATCCATCCATCCACCCATCCTTCTTTCCATCCACCCAACTACCCACCCATCTATCCATCCACCCACACATCCATCCATTCACCCACCCCTCTATCTACTCACCCATCTATCCATCCACCCACCCATCCACCAATCCACCCATGCATCTATCCTTCTCTCCCTCCATCCTTTCAGCATTCATGCATCTACTTGTTCATCAAATAGTTACTGTATGCCTCCAAAGTACCAGGCACTGTTTCAGGAGTGAGGCTATACAGTGAATGAATAAACAAGATCCTTGTTCCTGGGTAGCTCACATTCTGGGAAGATAGACAATAAACAAGTAAACAAAGATGTGCACATGATAATTTCAGATGCCAGTGAAGGTGAGTAAGAGAATATGTCTGGGATATGTGACAGAGAGAGGTTGGGAAAGGCTAATTTCAGTGGCATTTGAGTTGACCAGTAAGTGAGACCTATCTATTTGCATGATATTCCAGCTAGAGGGACATCAAGTGCAAAAGCCCTGAGGTGGGAAGGAATCTGGTGTGTCTGAGGCAGGCTGGGGACCAGAGCTGAGAGGGCAAAGGGGAGCGAGTTCAGGGTGATTGACAGGCCTAGATCAGGTGGAACCTGGAGGGCAAAGGCGAGGAGTCTGGTTTGTTCCAAGTGCTCAGAGGAGCCAGTGAGGGGAGGGATGTGCATTTCCAGCTGCTCTGGCTGCTGTGTGGAGAAGTGACTTGGAGGGAGGGCGGGGAAAGGCAAGGAGACCAGTTTAGAGGACATAAGGCAGTAGCTTAGACCAAGACGGCAGCAAAGTAGATCCAACCTGCTCAACTCACTTTATGGAGAAACTGAGGCCCGGAGACTGCCCAGTGCCTTTTTCTGAGTTGGGTTCAAAGGTATCTGTGGATGGGCTGAGGGGATTCCAGACCCCCTTCCCAAAAGCTCAGGCTACCCGATTCCCCCTTCTGTCCTAAAGTCTCCCCTCCCTTTGGAGGCACTCACCCCTTGTTCATTTCACACCCCATGGACAGACCAGCAGTGGTGACGGACAATGGGGATAACACTGTAGCTCCAGCTCTGCCAGTTCTGTGCTGTGTGGCTTTGAGCAAGTGCCTTCCCCTCTCTGGGCCTTGGTTTCCATCCACATGAAGAGGAGCAGAACTGGGTGCTCCCCTGAGGGAGACCCCTCCCGGCTTAGATGCGCAAACTATGTCCCCTTTGGTTTGGCAGGAAGACGGCTGAGGGTCTTGCTTGGGCAGCCTCACTTGGGGGCTCCCAGCCCACCGTCTGGCTGCATTCTGGGCTCTGACACATCAACTGAGGCACAGACACGGTGGTTTCTGAATCAGACTGCCTGCGCTTCCCGTGAGACCTCGGACAAATGACTTCACCTCCTTGAGCTTGGGTTTTGCATCTGAAACATGAGGATGCTAACACAGCCCTAATTTCAAGGTGTTTGAGAAGAGTCACGAGACAGGGTGTGCAAAGTGACTGGCTGGGGAGGGGACGGTCTTGTTCTTCCAGCCAGCTCGCCGTGGGGGAGGGGTGAGCACCCCCCCGACCCCACGCCCCTCAGCACTCAGGGGCCTGGGTGAGAGCCAGTGGCCAATGACCAACGGCCTGTGAAGAATAAGGCTCTCATCTTACCTCCAAGGCTTCATAGTACATGTCTTTGGCCTCCATATCTGTCTTGGCCGACATCAGCCAGGATTTGATCAAATATTCATAAAAACTGTCCCCGAGTCCTCCAACCGAGACGTGGTCTGTGAGGGGAAAGATGACAAGAACATTATCTCCATCTGTTGAGGCCACAGGCGGGACTAACCGGGCGCCGTCTCGCCTGCCAGCCTCGGTGGCCCCCGGTGCTATGCGCGGGCAGTGAGAGAGCATTTAATCAGCAGCCTCCAAGCCCGGAACAGGGGCCGAGAGAATGGCATGGCCCGTGACTCAGGGGACACCAGGGCCGTCCTGACGCGCGATCATCCCGCACGAAAGCGCGCGGGCTCATCCGGCCACTATAAATCATGCTGCTTCAGCCGCGGAGGACGCAGGGCCTCCGGTTATTAACTGTAAATGAGTTGCATTTCTTTAAAAAGATAATGTGGTGGCAGGGAGTTCAGAGATTTTTATTACCCTGCGACAAACATGGTAATTAATGCGGGGCAGGTTCATAAAAGGCCACAGAAAGGAGGAAGGAGACGCTTAATTTAGTCGGACAAAGTACAGAGCTGCTCTGGAGAAACCGAGTTTAAATTTAGCAAATTGTGACACATGCAGATCAGTGGAGCCGGGGGAGGGAAAATCGCATCTGTGGACCCCTCTCTGCCCTGTTGGCATCTGCCTCGAGTGGCAGGACCTCCAGGTTGTGGCTGAATGAGGTGTCTGCACCCAGGGCTGTCCTAGGAGCAAGATGGGTCGACCAAGGAGCACTTAACCACAGAAGCAAGACACGAAAATACTTCACTCACACGCCTTAGAAATGAACAGTGGGGAAGCATAAGGCTCTCACTACAGGCACAAGAAAGGGCAAACTTCAGTGCCCTGTTAGGATTCACGTGCGCAGAAAGACAGCAAGGAACACGGCGAGTGGGTTAAGGCGGCAGGCTGGGGGGGAATGGGAAGAGTGTTTTCAGCTCCTCTGGGCAAAGAGCGGGTAGAAAGAGAGAAGAGAGGGAAAGCGGGTGGCAGGAAGAGAAGGAAACAGAGAATACAGCACCAGCCACCGCTGATCAAAGGTCCACTGTGGGCCAGGAGCTTCACTGGATAATTTACAACAATCTTCCCAAGAACCCTGCAAGGTAAGCACTGTGAACCCTGTCTCCCAGATGGGAAACAGAGAGCAGGCCGAATAGCCCATCCAAGGCCACCAAGCCAGAGAGCCCTCACTTCCTCAGCTTTACAGTCAACCAGAGAATGCAAACAAAGATGCTCAAGGAAAGGAAGGACATGGGTGAAGAGAGAGGGACAAAAGTCAGAGGTAAAGATGGATGGGGACAGGGAAAGGGGGCGGGGGGGCCCCCCCAGTAAACCAGTGCTTCCGGCCCTCCAGCCCCTCCACAAACAAATCCTGGCCGAGCAGGGGTTCAGGGACAGGACAAACACTTGCAAACACTGGAACAGACCTGAACGAGCAGCGGGTGGGTGGGGGTCAGTGTGGGCTGGACTTTGCCATGTGAAGAGGGAAGAGAGACCAGCATAGAGGACCCCCACTCCTACCCCCCAATGGTAGGTGGAGGACACGGCTTGGGCAAGCACAAAGGGAGGGACAGGGATGCGCCAGGCCCAGCATGTTGACGGGGTGTCCACGGCTGGAGCAGGAGGTCTGTGCAGAGCAGGGGTGGGGAGGCGGGGAGGCTGGAAGGCACACGGGGTCAGCCTCCGCTTAGAGCAACAGCTCAGAAGGGGTTCATCATCTCCACTGGCCTGCCTCCTCTCACTGTTTTCTCCGCCACCCCAAACCGTCCTAGCCCCAGCCCTCCCATGCTTTTCCTCACCTCTGATGACCCCTCGCCTAGAATACCCTTCCCGCCTTGCCCGGCGAAGACTTCCTCACTGCCATGCCTCAGCTCAGGCATCACCCACCCCAAGAAAGGCTCTCCTCAGTGTCTTCATAAACCTGCTCCCAGCCTCTCCACAGGCTGACCGTGAGGAGTGAGGGAGATAAGGCACACGCAACCTCCGGCCCAGTGAGCTTCAGGTGGGAAGCGCTCAGCAGGAGCCATCCTCCCACTGCTGGGTGCATGCCTGGCCAGCAGCTGCTCTCAACACTGTGCCATAAGCATCTGTTGATGGGTCTGCCTCCCCTACCAGGCTGGGGCTCTGTGTGGGGAGGGACCACGTATGATTCACACCTTAGGCCCAGTACCTCTATGGCACATGGCAGATGCCCAGTAAGTCCTGATCGAATGAAAGGAAGGTAGGTTTGAGCTGTGCTTGGAAGGGCCTCGAATGCCAAGCCAAAGAGTTTGGACTTCATCATGTGATTGCAGAGAGAGAGTATGTGTGTGTGCGTGTGTGTGTGACATGGCAGAGGGCTTCACCTGGCAGGGGTGTGCACAAGCGGGAGCCAGGTCACCAGGAGTCGCATGGGCGTTTGAGACACGACAGCCTCTTGGGGATATGTGTATAGTCTGTGTCTCAGGGGGCTTCAAATGAAGTGGTCAGTTTTCATCTGGAGGCCCCACTGCTTCCTAGTAAGCATGTGTGCAGTATCTTCCCAGCACCATGGGGCACACTGGGAGAAGTGCAGGGGTGGGAATTAGCAGACGTGGATCTGCCATTAGCTCAGGGCAAGCCATTTTGCAGTCTGGGCCTCAGTCTCCTTACCTGTGAAATGCCAAAGCAGAGCGTGAGTTGGTGTCCATGAGCCCTAGAGCAGAGTGGGGTTCCTCTGCTTCCTGACTGTGTCAACGCTCTCATCACACTTGGCAGCAGGAGGTGCCGCCCTACAAGCCTGGGCATCAGCAGGCAAGAGAGCAGCGTGATGCTGGGGGAGGCTGCCAGGCTGGCGCTGACGGGAACGCACACTCCTATACCCACCGGGGAGAATCTGGATTTGCCACTTCCCTCCCACTGGGGAAAATGTGGGATTCAGGCAGCGGACAAGGACAAGCCACTCCAGGGCCCAAGCTGAAGGGCTGGCAGCTGTCTGAGCTCTAAGTGTCTCTGCTGGGGTCGGTTGCATCCGCTCTTGGTGCCAGCAGGAGCCTGAGGGACTTATCCTGGCTTTGAAGTCCTAGTGGCTGGAGGGTCTCGGCCTCCCCCGTCTCCCTGAAGCTCAGCTCCCAGCAGGAGAGGGGAGCAGGCGAGAATAGAGGCCTGGGACGGGGCTGCGGCCCAATTCCTCAATCGCCTCTCTAAACTGCCATTTCTGTGGTTGCAAATGAACTAAACAGAGGATTTAAAGGAAGAAAAGAACGTGAACACACTTAGCTTATGCAAGTTGGGAACGTTATCATCTGCTGGAAAAATACACAATCACCAAAAAACACAATAGAAACCACAGAAAACCTGAGATGACCCAGGCGCCAAAGCCAGGGGAGGAGGTGGGCAGGCACCCAGATGAGCAGGACTTTGTAACCTTCCCTCTGCTCTTTAGCAGGCCTCGGGTTCATATTTTATTAATACAAAACAATTTTCCAGACGTGAGTGCCTTTGCCCAGCCCCGCGACCCTGGCGCAGGCTGAAAAGAAAATAATGCTTCTCCGAGGGGGCTCCCCTGTAATTTGCCAAGGTGGCTGTTCAGGCTGGGAAGCCACACCCCTCTCCTTTTTATGGGTTTTGCTGCATTGTCCTGGAGCCACGAAGGCCGGCAGCGGCGTAGTTTATCTCATCCTCAGTCAGGCCTTGCAATTAAAAGCAGTAACAGTTATTGAACTGTCTCCATCGTGGCCATAATCTGTAATTCAAACCTTCGTTTTCTCCTGGCACTTTTGGGTTTGGCGGTGTGTTTTGGTTAAAAATACTTTGCATTTCTATAAGCGGTTTTTGCAGGAGGACCCGTGGGCGTGAGGTCATCACCTGTGAAAATTCCTGGGTCGAACTTTTTGGGCTTCCTAGACCCTCGGATCAGAGGGGCTCGGGGTGGGAAAGACGGGCTCGCAGTTTCTTCCAGTGTCCCTGCGGCCGGCCAGGCTGTGCTTGCATTCTTTTAGTGATGGGCACCATTACCTTTCGGGGCAGACAGATCACCTTCAGAAGGTGAACTGAAATCTGCTTGCTGCAGCTTCTGACCGTGCCTCCATGCCCTGCACGGTCCCCAAAGAACACATCTGGAGCTCTCCTCCTATCTTATAGGAGGGGAAAGCAAGACTTAGAGATGCCGCAAATCCCCCAGTCAGGCAGTAATTAGACTCATGTCTACTATGCCCCTGAGCCCTTGCTGATGCCATAACAACCAGGGCCAGAGGCAGGGGAAGGGAGAGGGGGCCTTGTTTGGGCAGACGCAGTGGAGGTGGGGGCTCTGGGAAGCTATTGGGGAGCCCCCAGAGGCAGGGCCCATGGTGGCAGCAGTGCCACCAGTTAGCACTGTGACCACATGACCAGGGCCTTGGTCAGGAGGGCAAGGCGGAGCCCGGGCTTCTCGACAGGGGTGCAATCCCAACAGCCTGGGAGACTTTTCAACACTGAGCATCCCCCTGACCTCATTCTGTTTCAGAGGGTGGAGCTGGGGGCTGGGAATGAGGCTCTGCCGTTGACCCGCAACAGTCTGGTTGAGAAACAAGCCTCAGAACAGAGAACAGCAGGAAATCCCGGGACCGATTCTTGTAGGCGTGAGATACCAGCGGTGAACTCATGATGTTTATATTGCTATATAGTTAGGCTCTGCTGAATTTTTTTTAAATTAAATTTGGAGGTGGGTTACCAGATTAGAGGGGCTGGGAGAGGAAGCACGGCCTTTCTTAGAGCCACTTCTGGAGCAGGCAGTTCTCTATGGAATAGTCCTGCAGGTGCGGTGGACAATGAAGGAGGGTTCAGTGGGCAGCAGAAGAGACGGAAGGCTGAAGCTCTGATAGGAGGCTGGAGACGGCTAGTGTGCGGGGGATGCTCGGGGCAGGGCCTTCCTGGACAGCAGCCATCACATCCATCCCAACGGCAATGACAACAGTAATGAAACCGCCCACGAAGCCTGGCAGGGTAGGTGGTGTCCAGGAGCACTGAGCGAACGCCATGCTAGTATGCGGCTCTGATAAACGCATCACTCCCCTCGCGGCCCAGGTGCCTAGCACAGGCCAGAGCCGGGAGCTGGGCAGGAATCAGCTCAAGGAGGGGCAGCGGGGTCTCTATACTCACGTTGCATCCAGTTCCCGCTCACTGGGCTGAGGAAGTTGGGGTAGAGGCCAAAGGGCTTGTCGATCTTCTTGAGGACCTTCCGGATGTTCTTGACCTGTCGAGAGATGGACACCAGGTGCACCTTCACTTTCCCGAAGAAGCCAGCCGGCTCCCAGCCCACCGAGGATGGAGGCAGCTGGTTCAGATGCAGAGGAAACCATTCCCATGAGGCAGAAGGGGGAGCTGCAGGACCAACAGCAGGCTCCACCTCAGAGCTGGGGGCAGGCCTTGCCCTTGTGCCCACGCGGGGCATGTCAGGACATGGCCACAGAGGGGCCTGACCCACAACCTCTGCACTGACTGCTCCGCCTGGAGCCCTGCCAGGCCCCCACTGCCCCCTCACCTCACCCCTTCCTCACTGCCTGTCGCTTGGGGGGATGGGTCTTTTAAGGAAGAAGTTCATATAAGTGATCGTAGCTCATTCGTAAGTGCTATGCTGAACTGCCTTTTTAAACGGTCAGAAACGGTCAAATGTTGGCCATTTCATACGTTACTTTATCTGACACCATAGGAACCATGCCAGAGGAGAGGGCTAGGCTCCTTGACGTCCCTGTGCCCCAGTGGGCATCTCAGGGTTTTAACAACTACATCCACTACAACAGCTGTTACCATTTCCTCCGAGCCACACCCGTTTGACACACTATCTCCAACCCTCAGAACAGCCGTCACGGTTTATTATGTCAGTTTAACTGACAAGAAACCCAAGTCTCAGAGAAGTTCAGTGACTTGCCCATGGTCACCGGTTGTAAGTGGCAGACCAGGACACGAGTAGGTGTCTGATCACAGGAGCAGCCTCTGGGTCCAACATGGATCAGGGTGGGGACCGTGCAGCAGAGGCCGCCCCAGCTGGAGCAAGAAGCAGCTGGACCTGCAACCTTTAGGGCTGCGAACAGCGAGAAGCGGGATTCAGGAAGGCTCTCTCCCTGGGTCTGCTGTCCGGCAGTAAATGAATCCTGCCGGTACAGAATCCGCCGGAGAGAAAGGCCCTGGGGCCAGCGCTCAATCGGGGGCTCGCAGGTTTCCCCACAGGCGAGGAGCACGGAGAGCAGCCCTTAGCTGTCAGACCCTGCTTTCCAGGGCACAGACTTTGCTTTGCACATCACATTTCAGATCCATTTATGTTAATGGAGTCCATTATGGGGGACAGAAACAGGCTTGCACCTGACTTATTCTTGACTGTCCTGGTGGTGAGCAGGCAAGAGGCTAAATTTGCTCCCTGGGAGGGTGCGGGCACTTCAGAATTTGGGCCAATTTGTTGACTGCCAATAATCGCCTCTGTGGGAGGCATGATTAGAAGACAAAAATAGCCTGAGAATGTAAATGTAGAGAGAGACAGAGAAACAGACAGGCGTATGCACTCTGGAGAAAAAGCCGGAAGCCTGCTGTACCAATCTGGGCTTCAGAGTCAGAAAGTCCTGGGCTTGAATCCCAGCTGGATGACCCAGGACAAGTGACTCAGCCTCTCTGAGCCTCAGTTTCCTCCTCTGTGAAATAGGGATAACAGGAAGACCACTGCCTAGGTTGCTGGGTGGGACAGAGATACCCTAAGGTCCCCAGCACATGGAAGGTGCTCAGGCAGTGGTAGGTGGTATCTCCAGACCAGCCAGGGACTGCAGGGAGCTCCTCGTCCCACTCCATTCTTCCTAGAGGAGTTTTGCTCAAGAGCAATGGAAACAGGGAGGCTTGGGGGAGGAAGGGCTTGGAGGTGGGAAAAAGGACCAGAAAATAAGGCCCGCTGGGAAGCGGGATTAAACTTCTTCCACAAGCTTTCAAGGTGGAGTGTCACAGACAGGCAGAGTCCCTCTCGATCTAAGGAAGAGCTCCTGCAGAAGTTTTGACAACATGACGGGCTGACTAAGGGCAGTAGTGAGCCTCAGGGCAGAGGAAGTCACCAAGGTGTTAGAAAGCTCTTCTTGGGGCTGGCCTGGCGGCCTAGTGGTTAAGTTTGCAAGCTCAGCTTTGGCGACCTGGGGTTTGCGGGTTCGGATCCTGGGGGGGACCTGCACCGCCCGTCAAGTCACGCTGTACTGGCATCCCACAAACAACACTGAGGAAGACTGGCAACAGATGTTAGCTTAGGGACAGTCTTCCTCTCTAAAAAAAAGGAAAATCTAGTATAAAACAAACAAAAATTTTTTAAAAAACCTCTTGATCTTCTCAAGAACGCTCAGGTGGATTCCCACAATGAGCAAGCAGTGGTCTAAACCTGGTGTGAAAAAGCACATGGGTGCTTGTTGAAAATGCAGATTCCCGGGCCCAGGGTGAAGTCCAGAAAGTTGTTTCTTCCAGGCAGTGAGACGATGATCTGAGGCTAATTAGCTGACACAAGCCTGGGAGCCACCGGGTAAGGTGTGACTCCATGACCTGCCAGCTCCCTTGGCATTTAAGAGGCTAACGTTTGAGGAAGAGAAGGCTTTGGGAGCGGGGCCTCCAAAGGTTCTTCTGGGAGGGCAGGGCTTCATCTCCCCAGGCAAGACTCCGGAAGGGACAACAGCCGACGGAGCCTGAGGGCCATCTGAGGGTGGGGTGTGTACATGTCCCTTCTCTGGGCTTAGGGTTAGACCCACGGAGACACTTCCAGACAGTGGGACTGCCAAGGGCTGTGACACTGAGACGCTGCTCCTTCTGGAGGGCTTCGCAGAGGGGCAGGAGCAGGCAGCTGTCAGGACACTGGCCTGGATGCCAGCTCTCTGCACCCCTGCAGCCTCAGCCAGCCCGGGAACAACTGAGAAGGCACAGACCTGTGCCTCTGCTGTGGAGTGCAATCGCTTTGCAGCCTGCTGACAACGTGAGCCAGACAGGCATCTGGGAGGAACGGGCAGGCAGATCTCACATGAAGAAGTTAAATGTCTCTGGAAAGGGGACTTCTGCACCAGGTGGCCATTTCCTGCCAATGCGAGCTGGAGCCTAGATTTCAGTTGCTGCACTTTCTCCAGATGCCACGTATGTGTGGTTGTCACCGAGCTGACGCACACACCAGTGCGAAGCTTCTTGCTGGCAGCTTCCTCTCCTCCCTGCCCTCTGCAGAATCCTGGTTACTCCCTGTGCTCAGTCCCTGCCACCTGTACACAAGTAGCTCCTTGCTGTGTTAGCAGTGGCTGGAGGCCCTCTGCGTTCCCCACCCACCCCCCTGCTGCCCCGTGATCCCTTTCCCCTTCCTGGGCTGAGTGCTCAGCCTTCTGCTCTCCAACAGGGGAAGAGAGGAGCCAGCTGGGGAGGGAGCAGGAGAAGACTTGCCTTTTCTGCGAAGACTGGGTTGCCAGAGAGCTCAGTGAGGTGCAAGAACTCCAGGTGCAGGGATCCGAACTCGGCCAGGATGCTGCTGCTCCCCGCCATGGCCCAGCCCCAGCTCCTGTTGGAGCCGCTGAAAAGACAGAAGCAGCCACTGTCACCCCCCACCACCCCAGCCAGGCCGGCTCCCCTGCTGAGAGGAACAGGGACTGCTGGTGGGGGAGCACCTACTATGTGCCAGGCTCTGTCCCAGGAGCCTTCGCCTATCATCTCAGTTCACCCTCCCTGGGCGTCGGGGCTATGAACAGCCCCGTTTTACTGATGAGGACACTGAGGTCCGTGAGACGAAGGGACCTGCTGAAGGTGATCTGAACGCAGCCTGTCTGACTTGCAATATTCTTCGTTTCTACCGTCAAGCAGCCCCTACCAGACTCGTGGACTCGAGGACAGTAGCAGAACTGCCTCGGTGGCCAAGACCTGGCATACGCGCTGTGTTAAGTTTACAGGTGATCTCAGTGAGGCCGTCGGACCCCACAGATCACTTGATTCCTCGGGCTGAAGGCCACCTGGCTGCTCGTGTGGAGGGTACCGGCTAGGGTTGAATGGGGGTGGAAGAGAAGCAGGGGCCCCACTTGGCCCTTCCTCTCTCCTCGAACTCTCAGTGCTTCCCGAGGACACAGACTGGCCCCTGCCTGGAATTTTGTGGCACCCACACCTGCAGGGCAGGTGGCCCTGGTACGCCCACACCTGGAGCTCCTGGATCCGGGGAAGCCCCATGTCAGGAATAAAGCAGCAGGGCTCTTGGAGCAAAGGCTCCTCGCCCATTAACCACCCGCTTCTCATGGGCACCTCAGATAGTCAATGACGTACTATTACTAGCATGGCCCCGAGACCTCGGTGGAGAAGGATGTCAAACGTGCTGAGCACCTCCGAGGAGGAAGAGAGCAGTGGCAGGGCCTCTGCCAGTGCTCCCAGCTGCCCCTTTTACAGATGAGGAAAACAAGGCACGGGACACGGACGTCACCCGACCGAGATCACACAGGAAGTAGCACAGCTGGGACCCCACCGCTGGTCTGACCCAGAGCTTGTCCTAGCCACCTTGCGGGCTGCCTCACTTTTAATTACAGAACAATCAGGAAAGACACTGCCTTCCCAGGCGCTTTCACTTAAAATCTCCCGGGACCTGCAGCCAAAAGGCGCGGGTTCGAGTTTGCTAGCTGAGCAGCCTTGAGCAAACCATTTCATCCTGTGACGCAGAGTGTCTGCATCCATCACACTGGGTGACGATAATACTGTCCCGTCTCCAGAATGGGGGTGGCCTTGGACAAGCTGCTTCCTCTCCCTGTGCCTTAGTTTCTGCATATGTATAGTGATGATCTTTCCTGTGGGACCTTTAGGACCACCAGGGGGACAGGGGTCAACCTCGCTCTGCAGGGAGGTTGTGGAGGAGAGGGGGTGAAAACAGCCAGGTGGAGTGAGCTCCCCCTACTTGTAGGGCCTCCAAGGTGCAGTTAGCGTGGGCTGGGCTGAGGGACTGGCTCTGCAAGGGCCTCCCGGGAGCCCCTCGACTTCCCTGCTGCAAAGGCTCTCGCTCCCCAGGAACTGCCCCTGTCTGTCCCTCTGTCTTCCAGGAACAGGACCCAGGAAGGCAGGTGTGGGTGGGGGAGGTCACGGCATGCCACCTGAGGGGCACTGCCTTTTCCGGTGTGGGCTGGGGCTCCCCTGAGGCTGCCATTCTCCTCTCTAAACTCTGTTGTCCGACCTGGATTTGGTTTCCAGGGAAGTCAGGAAACTCATCAGTCTCCCAGCTTCCGGAAATAAATGGAGGACTCGAGTGTTAGGATCTTTTGGAGCAGGTGACCTCAATAAACGTGGAGCCGACCACTGGCCCCTTCTTCCTGTCTCCACTTTCTGGGTATTTCCCTGACCTGGGGCAAGTAGGGAGGGATGGGTTTGCACAGAGAGGGGAAACGGGGTTTCCGGATAATAAATAAAACAGCTTGCATTTATTGAGGCACCACAGATGCCAGACTCTCGGGCAAGCTGTTTGCATCTGGACTTCGTTTACAGCCCACAAGGTAAAGTATCATTAATCCCAAAGTGCGAAGGAGGAAACTGAGGCTCAGAGAGTCAAGAGAGTTCTTGAAGGTCAGAGCCTGTAGGAGTTTGAGGCGGGATTCACTTCCCTAAGGGGTCTCCCACTCCAACGGCCGGACATCCACCCAGAGGGAAGGGGGGGCGGTACCCGCTCTCTCCCTCTTCCCCCTAGGCCAAGCGAGACTCCTCTCTCCAGCCTGCGATCTCAGTGGGAGCGGTGGGTACCCGCAGAGGGTTTCCTGAATAACTGATGCTTCCTGCCCTCGCAGAGAAATTCAAGGTAAAAAAAACCACCGGCCACCCAGTCATCTTGTGTTCTCATCTTTCCCCACGAGCCTCTCCTTCCTCCCTCCCAACACTCACCCTCCCAAGTGGACTCCTGTGGTGGAGCCACCCAGCAGACGGGCGGAGGCAGCGCTGGGCAGAGGCGGCCAGTGGCCGGGCCCTCCCTCTCTCCTGCCTGGCTTCAAATGCTGGCTCCTCCAGTTCCCAGCTAGGTGACCTTGGGCAGGTAGGTTGGTTAATTTCTCTAGAGCTCAGTTTCCTCATCCATTAAATGACAGTACCCACATCTCACAGGGTTATTGTGAGGTATAACTTATGTGTGTAATTCCTGTCAATTTTATCCTTATGTAATTACGCACATGTAAATTGTGTTGTTAGAGTTGAGTTCCTGATATGTACCAGAGAGCTGTGGTTTCTTATTTTATCTTCAGATTCAACTTCAGAGGTAGACACCATGATCCTTATTTCATAGGTGAGGATACTCAGGCTCAGAGAGGGGGAGACACTTTTCCAAGGTCACACAGAAAGTGATAGAGCCAGTAGAGCTGAATCTAAATCCAAATCTTAGGTACTTTGTGCTGCAAATGCATCTGTTCTGGGCAGCATCCAGAGACTAGGAGGCCTTCTGACCAGCCCTCTGAGGCAATTGGCTAATGGAAGCTCTGCCCTCTGCTTCCCTCCCAGGCTTTTAAGCCTGCAAGTGGGCGTGGAGCCTGTGTTCTCCCTCCTTGGTGAGAGGGGCTGCTCCACAACGCCGCTTCCCTGCCCGGCTAGAAGCTGTGTGTGTGCCTGTGTGTGCACTCATGTGTACAGTGTAATCATCACCTTTGGAACCAGGCAGACCTGGATTCTAATTCTAACTTTGCTGCTGTGTGACTTTGGGTAAGTTACCTCACCTCTCTGAGCCTCAGTTTCTTTGCTGGTAAAATGGGGTCCATGTGGTTGTGAGGTTGAAGAGAGAATCCATGTCACATGCTCACATCATGCCTGGCACACAGTGAACGCTCAATAAACATTCACAATTATTAAGATGTGTATATCTGTGTGTGGCAGGGGCACACATACATAAATGCACATTTGTGTGTGAAGGTGTGCATGTATGTATACACGCAAGAGTGCGTGTGACAAAGGTGAGCTTGTGTATCTGAGCCTTTATGATTTGAATGGGTGGCAGCAGAGTGTGTATGCGTGTGTGAGGCTGTGTGTGAGCGAGCGAGAGACTGAGTCAGCTGCAGAGGTCCTTGGACTGGCCACTGCCACTCTCCCGGACAGTCCAGTGTCCCTGCAGCTCCCAGGTCATGGCTGTCCCCGCCTCTGCCTCCCCGGCCAGGCTGCACAGACACACCTCCTCAGGGGGGAGGAGCAGTCACACCCCCTCGGGGCCCACTGCCTCTCAGGGCTCCCCTCCCCTGGCTGTTCTCGGGCTGGGCCTAGTTATCTACTCCTGCTGCTGGCACCCACGTCTCACCCTTCTCCTCAGAGCTGCCCCAGCCAGCCCCGCCCAGAGCAGGGACTGCAGTGTGTGCCCCAGCTCCCACCAGTAGGCCCTCTCAAAGGGCACACTCAGCGCCACGTGGGCCACATCCATCCCTGACGTTCTCCCTGGTGGAACACGGAGGCATTTTTAGCAGCAGACTCTCTTATCTAGAAAACGAAAGGGAGGTGCTGCCGGGAAATATGCACATACACACATATACAGCACCAGCAGAACGCAAACAGCCTAAAAATAAGCGCACTTTCTTAATCAGAAACGTCAGCATCAGGTCCGGGCTCTGAGGGGCATGGGTAAGGCAGACAGGCCAGGCTGCGGTTTGTAGGGCCTGAGGTAGGGGACAGGTCCACGCACAAGGGAGGGAGGGATGCCTCAGCTAAGGTCCTATCCCAGACCCTGGGCGGCGAGGCCTGAGACGCTGCATCTGGGAGAGGGAGCCAGAAAGACAGCGTGTTTGCATCTCGGCTCCCTGACAGCTGGCTGTGTCTCTGCAGGATCAGTGTTTGTGGGAGAGGAACCTGAGAAGAGATCCAAGTGTCCAGCTCTGGGGAAGCAACCCTGGCACTGGGAACAGGATTTGATTGGCCCTGAGGGCCCCTCCGTGGCCCATGGTGCAATTTGAGTGAGGTCACACCCCAGGAATGCTTCTGGACCACAGAGACAGTAGGCGAAGATGCCGAGCAGGGCTAGTCCCCTCCTCAAGGCCCAGGACGGGCTAATGAGGCAACTGAGGCCGACCTTAAGCGTGGGACTTTCCCAGCACAGAGAGGGCACCCCGGGCACTCCGCCAGAGCCCAGGGTCCCTGCGTTCCTCCAGCATCGTCCTCCTCCCAGGCAGCTGGCAGAAGCTACTGCTGGACTGAGAGCCCTGAGATAAGAAATCAGTTCAGGGGATGGAGCCGGGGAGTCCAGAGCAATGGAAATATTACAGCCCTTCTCCCAGGCCCGGGGTTGTAGAAAGGCCTGAGGTTGGCCCCACAGAGCTCCCCGAGGATGCCCCAGAGGGCTCCCTGGGGCCTTCTGCAGTGTCTCCCCGGGGGTCTGCTTCATGAGGGAGGGAGGGACTCAGGAGTTCAGAGCAGAGCTTTCGATCTGTAACAAAACGGTTTAAATCTTGGCCCCATTACCCATTGTCTATAAGACCTCGGGCGGTTTCTCCATCTCTCTCTGAGACTCCCTGTGAATAATGGGGGTAATATAAGCACCTGCCCTCAGAGGCTGGCTGTGAGTATGGCGAGGGAACGAACGGAAACCCTCAGCACAATGCCAGGCATGGAGCAGTTGCTCACTAAACGGTAGGAACAGGGTCGTTACTATTCATCTTTCATCCTGCACACAGCACCTAGCACAAATATTTGTCAAAGGAATGAGCAAGAACTGGACACGGCTCCTGCCCTTGAGGAGCTCCCAGGCGGTGGGCGAACGTGGAGGGGAGTGCACCGAGGCCTCATGGAAGAACATGAAGTGCCTGGAGGCCAGGAGAGGCGAAGAGGCTTCTGCTTAATGGCGAAGGTAGCCCTTAAGCTGGGCTTTGACGGCCAGGGGAGCTGGAGGGAAGGGCGATCCGTGGAGGAAGAGAGTGAGGGAAGGCAAGACAAGGGGGCACACTGCAGTCCCCAGGGGCAAGATGATGCATGTTCTTCAACGCATCTTTAAAGCTGGATCTTAAAGCTGGCTGGGCGGTTAGTTCTCTCGACTGTGACCCCATCCTATCCCCTCTGGGTTTCGGCCACCACAGCTGGAAAATGAGTGGCTATAAAACCACTCCCACCCCCATGAGCAGGAAGGAAGCAGCACGGGGTGTCGGGGGGGGGCAGGTGGGCACCCCGAAGGCTCTGGAGCTGGACGGAGCTGCAGCCCTGGCGCACTCTTCCCGAGCAGGGTTCCCCAAGGTCGCGTCCACTCTGGCATTGTGACTTAGTGATGCCCAGAAAGACTCTGTCTGGTCCACACACTGGGTGTGTGATGGGATGACGCAAGCGGCCAATAAAAATCAACGTTTCACAACAGAGCCAGCAGAAAGCAGCATTACCAGGGTTTCTTTGATTAGTGGGACTACATGCGATTTTTTTGGTCTTATCCAACACTTTTGGTATAATCTACATTTTTTGCAATGAGAATTTATTCTTTATATAGAGGGGAAAATTTCAATACATATTTTATTAAAATGGAGTTGGAAGTCCTGGGTACGTGTCCTAGAACGGTCAGTTACTGGCTTACGTGACCCCGGCTCGGGCCTTCACTCCTCAGTGTCTGTGCCTCCATGGGCTTGACCCTCCCAGAAGCCCCTCTGGGTTCCGACACTGGGCTCCTGAGACCCAGCCCTGCCAGGGACGGAGGGTAGGGGTTGGCAGACCAGGGTCCCTCTGCCCTGGGTCCTGAGACCCCCCCCAGCAGCTTTGGGTGCCTCCTCGTGGTGGGAGAGTGTGATGTGCCCACTGGCTCCTGATGTGGGCTGGGAAGGCGGGTGGTTGGGGCACACCCGGAGGGCTGTGCGTCACGGCAGTGCAGTGGGACGACCTCAGAGGAACAGCTGCCCCCTCCCCATCCCCGGAAGACCAGGCCTGTGTGGCCTAAACCCTGAGAACGAGGTTTGGTGACACACACCGGCCCAGGAGAGCCCTGGGCTAAGGCTAGCTTTCACCATGCCCCTGACTTGCTGTGATTCCCAAGGTGGTATTGTCATCTCCCTGTGCCTCAGTTTCCACACAAACACAGCCGAAGCCACAAGTGGGAAACCAGAAGGCATCCTACCTTTTGAAGTTCACAACGCCTTTTGGGATTCCCGTGGGGGTGTTGAAGGCTGGCAGGAGTTTCTCTCCCAGCTTGATGGCCTTTATTCGGAACACCTGGAAGGGTCAAAGGGCATTGTGAAAAGCGGCTGGGTAGGGCACCATCACTGCAAGGAGCTGCTCCCGCTGGCAGATAAACCCGCCAATGCTGCCCGGCCCAGGATGGGAGGCTGCACGAATTCCTGGCTTGTGGCCTCAGGTGAGGCATCTCTCCGAGCCTCAAGTGCCTTCTTCATAAAAAGGACAATATTGCCTTCCTCAGAGTGCAGGGAGGAATGAAAAGCAGGTAATAGTTTTGTTTGTTTGTTTGTTGAGGAAGATTAGCCCTGAGCTAACTGCTGCCAATCTTCCTCTTTTTGCTGAGGAAGACTGGTGCTGAGCTAACATCCATGCCCATCTTCCTCTACTTTATACGTAGGACGCCTGCCACAGCATGGCTTGCCAAGCAGTACCATGTCCGCACCCAGGATCCGAACCAGCGAACCCCGGGCTGCTGAAGCAGAACGTGCGAACTTAACGGCTGCACCACCAGGTCGGCCCAGTAGGTAATAGTTTTAAGGCCCTCACTGCCGTGTCAGACCTGTGACTGAGGCTCAGGGACCAAAGCTGAGATTAGGGGTGACCACTGGGAAGGTGAGGCAGTCAGGGCAGTGGGTCACCAATGGTTAGTGTCTGCCCACACTGCAGGACCAGGACGTCACATCACAGGCTGAGTGCGTGGGAAACGAACTTGGACAGCGTGTAATGAGCACTGGACTGGGAGCCCAGACCCCCACCCAGGGTTCCCATCCTGACTCCACAACTTGGCTTCTGTGCGCTTCTCAGCAAACCACTGCCACCGCACGTGTCAAACCAGGGGAGTCTTTCCCCTTGACATCCTGGCTCTGCCCACTGTTCCCACTTACAAAGGGAATGAACAGAGAAGGTGACTGGCTCGTCCTAAACCACCCATGTGATGGCAAGGGAGCCACAGCGGGTCCCAGCCTCAGGGCCCCTGCCTGAGGCTAGGACCCCCTCGAACTACCCTTCTGAGTAATTCAAAAGGACCTGGGGTCTTCTGACTCAGTACTTTCCCTCCTAGGAATTTATTCTAAGGCAACAGACAACCTTAGATGTTATAAAAAATAACCAAGGCTGTTGTAAAAATTTAACTTTATGGCTATTCATTCCAGCATTGTTTAAAATAGTGGAAACAACAGAAATACTCTATTATAATAGAATAGCAAACTATATATTCTATTTATCTACTATAAATAGAAGTATCAAACAATTGGTTAGTGGTTAAATTACAGCTTCCTCTAATGGAATACCATATAGCCACTGAAATCATGTTGTAGAAGGATATTTAATAGCCAAGAAAGGGTTTATAATCTATTAAGAAAAAAATATTTCAAAATAGTGTATTTCAACTTTTGTAAAAATTACGTGCACATGGATGTGAGAGAAAAGGATGGGAAGAAAATCCACCAAAATATGAACGATGGTCTCCTCAGAGCGGTAGGCTCATGAGGATTTTTATTTTCTTCTTTTGGCTTATCTCTATTTTCTGTGTTATTTTTATAATAAAAACAATCTCACAATAAAGGTGATTTATCTTTTAAAAGATGAGATGCCAGTCCCTAAGCAAGTGCTCCTGGTGGGACAACACACACTTCCTTTCGGATCTGGAGGGTGACCCCATTTGCTGACCTCCTGCATGTGTCGTTGCAAAACAAAGTCTTGAGGTCCCCCCCTCCCAACACGTGCAACTTAGAAATGTGCAGGCAGCTGTCCAGGGACCGCAGTGGGGGAGGAGTTTGCGACCCCTACAGGGGCTGTGGATGGAGGACTGGGAGGGGCAGGTGTGGTTCTCACTTAGGAAGGGAGGGAGGGAGAGGGGAGAACCACGCCCAGGGCCTGGCGGGGATGCGAGAGAGAAGAGGGTAAAGTCAGTGCCAGACAGTGGGTCCAGCTGTGGGCACAGGGGTCGGATCCCTGGGGGCTTTCTAGAGTCCAGAGTTCACAGCCTCGCATCACCCCAGAAGCCCCCGGATTAGCAACAACAAAGGGCTCTCCTCTGAGGCTCCTGATGGAGGCTGAGCACAGAAGCATGAAGGAACCCACCGGAACCTGAACCTAGACACCAAGGCTCTGGCCGCGCTTTGCCCTGAGGCCTCCGAGCTAACTCTTCCTGAATGCTCCTATCTACTGGCTGCACTGCAGGCCTCCACCACCCCAGGGAGGGTGCTGGGCGAGCGCATGTGCACAGGAGTGATACCACTGGGAACAGCAGACCACTGGTTCCCCTCACCACCTTGGAAGTGAGGAGGCATGCCAGCTCTTATCTACGTGATCATCAACCCTTGCAACGGCTGGTGGGGAAGGTGTTGCTCCACTTTGAGGATGACTGAGGACCTGTGAAACTGAGTCTCAGAGAAGCAGTTTGCCCAAGCTGTGGGGCAACTAAGTGGCTCTTTTCCAGGACCCCAAGCTGCCTCTCCAACACAGAGACGCGGCCTCAGACAGCCACTGCAGGCAAAGGGCAGTGGGCCGGTGCTTCCAGAACAGAGGTGAGAAAAACCAGCAAGAATTCTACTTTGTAGATTGGAAAGGGCACTGGCCTGGGAGTCAGAACCTAGGTTCAGATCTTCCCGCTTAGCAGCTGTGTGACCTTGGGTGAGCCACGTACTGTCTCCGAGCCTCATCTGCACAGTGAAACACTGATATGTCCCCTGGCTGCTTCACAGGGTTCTTCTAGAAATCAAATGAGAGGATGTATATAAGTGAATGTGCCATATAAACTGTAAAGTGCTGTAGTTATGCTTGATAGTCTCCTAGAAGTCTCAGTAGGACTGGCCTACCCAGCAAGAGCTTCTCCTTCCACAGGTTCCCTCTGAAGCAGATAGCCCTCAGCCCAGCAAGGGGTGTGGGGTCTCCTCTGCCACTCATTCCACAAATATTCGTGGGAAATTTTTAAAAATGGAAAGACCCATTCCATAGGCACCCACCATGTGCAAGATCGAGGACTGACAGAGGAGGGAAGCCTCCGTCGAGTGTGGCTAAGCCCTGGTGACAAGCTACAAGCCTGGCCCAGGGTGGAGAGGCCGCAGCGTCAGGAGTCAGCCCAAAGCAGCCGTCAGGGACTGTGGGGCCTGAGCAAGTTACTGCTCTCCGAACCTCTGTTTCCACATCTGCAAATCGGTGACAACACCCACCTCATGGGCTGTTTGAGGAGCAGGGAGAATGTACACGAGCGGCAGAGTATCTGTCGTGGGGAGGGGCTGGGGGGGCAGAGGCGGATCAGGAAGGCATGGCTGGAGCACAGGGGCTGAACCCTCAGGAGCTGCCCGCTCAGGGATTCTGAGCGACTGGGGCCTCTCCTTGGTCCTTTTGAACTACTTCTAAGTCACTGGTGCTCCTATCCACACCCCACTGTCTGGTCTGCATCCTGGAAAGCCAGGCTGATGGTCCCTCCTAGCGAGCCAAGGCCCCAAAACAGGTTCTTGGAGTCACACCCACCCTCAGAGGCGGGAAGGAGGCCCGAGCATCAGGCCTGAGCAGCGCCAGCTCCTTCCTAAATCGCTGGCACCCACACCAGCCCCTGTGAGCCCCGAGCTGCACGGCTCCCTCCTCCTTCCCCACATCCCACGTCCACCTCCCCAGGAGCTGGACGGGAGGCTGGGCAAGGGCCCGTGAAGAACACTGATGCCTTTTTCTGCTCCATATGTCATTTTCCTGTGCTGGGGTTTTCAAATGAAATCCAGGCCTCGGGTGGCTCACAGCCCAGGGCTCCCATCTACAATTGTTTGGGGACAAATTGGTACAACCAGTAATCTCTGCTGAGGAGATTATGCTTGATGGAGAGAGGCCTGGAGCGACTGGAGAGAGAAAGAGCACGCCTTTTGCCTCTAACCCTTGGCTTCAGCCGCTGCTGCCTTAAGTTGAAGGGAAGCGGAAATGGCTTTCTCAGACAACAAGCCAACAAGCCGCAGAGGTGAAGAGGGAATTTTCTGCAGCTTGCTCTCCTCACCTCCAGGCTCCCCACCGGCAGGGGGCCAGGGATAATTATTTGTCTCTGGGTGGACAGAGCAGTGGTCGTGCTGGGCAGCGCGGCCCCTCTGGGTAACAGAGAACACAAGTGACCAGTGACCACGTCCTGGGGACCCGGCCAACCTCACCACCAGATCCTTGGGCTGTGCCTTCACGGGAGCTCACAAGGGGCTGAGGAAGCCCCCCATTTCTACAGAGCTCCGCGCTTCTCAAAATTCTCTTGCAGTGCAGAGAACATGGGCTTTGGAGCCGGTCAGCCCTGGGGTCAAATCCTTTCCTTCCTGTCCCATTTCACAACAGCTCTTTGACCCAAGGGGGATTAGGATCATCTCCATGGTAGGGAAGGAAGTGAGGCCCGGGGATGAGAGAAGGGCACTCCTCAAGGTCACAGGCAGTTGTGGGGTGGAGATGAGGCCCAGGTTTTCTGACTCCATGCCCAGGACTCTGCCTTCTCACCTCACTTCACAGCCCTCCTTCTGGAAGCCAACGTGGCTCACCTGAGGCCAAGGTCTCACATTGACAGCATGTGACCAGCTTGGCTGCCCCAAGTTCCCTGTTGCCCCCCTGAGACCTGGAGCCAGCGTCTGGCTGGTGGCTGGCCCAGGAGGCGCAGGCAAGAGATGGCTGTGGAGTAGGACAGGGCCAAGGGGCCCCAGGGGTGGAAATGGTGAAATAATGGTCTTGGCTTTGTCAGTCTGGAGAACCAACACCTCCAAAAACCAGTCCAGCAGCTCCACAAGCCTGAACCGAGCCCAGTTATTGCCGGGTTCCGTGAGAGGGGTTGCGCAGCTGGGCGAATAGACGCAGTGGTTGCCCTTAGAGAATTTACTATCAACCGTGAGAGCCAGTTGGGCTCACCTGGGCAGCAGAATGGCCGCATCAGGCAGAAGAGGAGGAAGACTCTGCAGGTGGCATGGTGGAGGGGAGGGGGGACGTGGGTGGCCCTGGGCAAATCCCCTCGAATCCCAGATTCCTCACTGGTGAAATGAGGAGTTGGGATTGGATGTTCTCCAAAGCCCCTTCCAGCCTGGATGGTCCAGCGCCTTGAAGGGCCAACTCACCTCTTCCCCCGTCAGGTAGAAGGCTGAGAGGAGGCCTCCGATGTACCGGATGTTCACCTCAAACAAGGATGCTTCTCCGCTCTGTAGGGCAGAAAGAAGGGGGGAGGGGGGAGGGCGGTGGGGACACTTGTGAGATGCCCACAGGGCTCCCAGGGATAGCGGGGTCCTTGAGACAGGCCACTGCCCCTCAACCCCAAGGATCTGGCCACATGTGTGCCAGGCTCCAGGGCCTTGCCCAGCGGGCCAGGCGATGCTCCACGGCGGCTTTCAGGGCAAAAGGCGAGAGGGATCAACACCTGCCTGGCTGCCGCTATTGCACATTTACAGCATTCCAAATAAACACTGGGTTTGGCTTCCTTCCCCAGCCCTTGCCCGAGGCCATCGGGACAAAGTTATGCCTGGCTGCTCTCCAAGGCACTCAAGAACCGGGTGGGGAGCTGCGGGCTGAAGCTTAGCCCGAGGGAGGCATATTCTCCACCAGTCTGGCTGCTTCCCTTCCCCGAGGGAGCCCCTGGGCTGAGCAGGAGGGTGGTGTGGCCCTTCCTCAGGGTGACAGGGCAATGGTAAGGTTCTCAGAGGAGGTTCTGGGGCAGACAGGGCAGGCTGAGGCTGAGAGGAGGGGATGCTAGACAGAGCCTTGTAGGCAACCAGCGATTTCTCAGCCTCGGCTCTGGAGCCCTCAGGGCATGCCCACGCTCGTCTTATTCACTGATACTTTCTTTCTGAAGTCTGGAGCAAATGAGGAGTGTTGGGGAATCATGCCAAGAGGGTTAAAATCCCACCTGAGCCACTTACTTGGCTTTGGGACTTTGGGCAAGATATTTAGCCTTTCCCTGCCGAGCTTCTTTATCTGTAGAACAGAGCTGACAATGCTTCCTGCGCAGGGCGGACATGAGATGAAGAGTGATGCAGGCGATGTGCCCGCCTGTCCCAGCCTTGCTCCTTTAAGGTGCCTGTTATTACCTCCCTGGCCCCCGAGGGCTCCCCTGGGCATGCTTCCCACATCAGGTCCTTCATTACTGATAACAACCACCATCACGCCTTTATGGGGAGAGCTTTTCCATCAACCGAACGCTGTTAAGCCTCTAGCTCTTTTTTTAAATTTATTTTTAATTTTTTTCTTTTTCAGTTTTTTGGTTTTTTTTTTTTTTTTTTTTTTTGAGGAAGATTAGCCCTGAGCTAACACCTGCCAATCCTCCTCTTTTTGCTGAGGAAGACTAGCCTGAGCTCACATCCGTGCCCATCTTCCTCTACTTTCTATGTGGGACGCCTGCCACAGCATGGCTTGCCAAGTGGTGCCATGTCCGTACCCGGGATCCGAACCGGGGAACCCCAGGCTGCCGAAGCAGAACGTGCACACTTAACCACTGCACCACCAGGCCGGCCCCAGCCTCTCTCCCTTTTAGCCTTACAGTGCTCCTGAGGTGGTCACTCCCATTTTTCAGATGGGAAAGCCAAGGCTCAGAGAGGGGGAGTGACCACATCTTCCTTTCTTCCAGGGGCATTCCCTAACCCACCCCTGCCTGCCTGAATGTTACCAGACTCCCCTGACCCTGGCACCACCTGGCACCTTGGCAGCTGCCTGGTGCCCGCTCTCTATCCCCTGCGTAGGGGACAAGGTGGGCCTATGAAGACACCCGTTCCTTCTCCCACCTCTGCCTTTCTCCCACTCAATACAGCGGAAATGAGGGGATTCTAAACCTCCTCGCCTCACACTGACTACCAGAGGTCACAGTAAGTCTCAAAATAATCACAGTAATGAGACGATGATGCTGGCACTATGGCACATCTGTACTGGACTTGACAGGGTTTTAAATGCTTGTTACAACCCTCCATGGGACTTAGGCCCGCGAGTTAGGCATGATCACTGTCGCTGCTGTGTCCTTCCTGTCTTAGAACTGGGGAAGCCAAGGCTCAGGGAGGCTAACGACTTTCCCAGGCTGCCAGCCAAGCCAGGGAGGCTCTGTTGTGGTGTTGCTTCCAGCTTTCCCCGGTTTGTCTCCCTGCCCCGCTCTGCACTGACATGAGCTGCAGGAGCTGTCCCCATACGCACCGGGACTGTCCCACGGGGAGCCCCGGATGCTGCCTGACAGTGTGTTTTGATGTGACCCTCCCTCTATCTGTCTCCACCTCTTGCTCCCCAAATTCATCTAAACAGCCTCTCCCCATGGTGAGCTGAGACCTCCAGGATGGATCCGTTACTTCAGTCTGGGCTGGGAGATCAATGGGGTTGGGGTCCGGTATTTAAGGATTTCATGCCACCCAGACACATTACCGTCTCCTCCTTAAGGCCCTGATCTCTGACCAGGGATGCCTATGAGGCTGGAAACCGAGGGTCCGGGACCTGGTCATGGGCCTCTAACCAGATGGCCTCCCAGCCCCTCTCTCAACAGGGCAGGACAGGGGGCCTCCAGGTTAGAGCAACTCAGAGCAGACAAGCCACTCCTCCCCTCCACAGAGTCACTTCCCCTGTTGCTGTTCTGTGCAATACATCCAGCCGTAGAAGGGACTTCCTGGGTGTGAGCAACATGCCTGGCACCCCAGAGAGTGAAAAGAACAGTCATGGCTGTCTTCCTTCCCAGAAGAGGAGGATAGGGTGATAAATACTCATGGGCCAGCCAGGGTTGGGGGGACGTCCCCCACCTTAAGGCCGGTCTCAGGAGAGGGGACTCAGCATGGAGTGACTGCTCTGCTGTGCAGCCTAGGGCCAGAGCCTCCAGGTCTCTGGGTTTCAGAGATGACAGCGTGGAGCTGGCAGCTGACCTCTTGGGTCCCTTTTGGCCCTAACACCCCAGGGGTCTGTGACTCACCACGTTCAGATGGAAGCTCTCTTCAACCCAGGCCTTGGCCTCCTGGAACTCCTCCTTCAGCTCCATGAGGTAGAGGGTGTCGAGGGAGTCAATGACTGTTGCTCCGCTGAGGCCTCCTGCAGGCACAGAGGGTGGAAGGCAGGACCCAGGGTCATTCCTATCCTTTCCATTCCCGACCACACAAGCCACCACTCCCAGGACCCTTCTAAATGCCTGGACAGGCGCCAAGGCCAAGGCTGGCCCAGGCATAATCCAGGGAGAATCTTGTGCCACCAGCCTTGGAAGGCGAGTCCCCCCATGGGCTGCCAGGACCCAGTGACCCCGCCACGGGCTGCTTCCTCCTCAAGGCAGCAAAGAGTGGGTGGCAGGCTGGAAGACCACATTCATGGGCTAAGCCATTTCCCAGACCTTGGTCCACTCTTATATCCACCAGCAAGTCAACCATCAGTGCTGGTTGGGTACCCACCACTCTTCTGTGATGCTGGAAGGAAGTTGAACTGGCATTTGGCCCACAAAATCCTAACAAATGTGCCAGTCCTTTGACTTTGCAATTCCATTCCTTATTTTATTCTAAGAAAAAAAAAAAGAGATGTTCATAAACATTTATCCAGGAAAGTATTTATTGCAATACCATATATAACAGGGAAAAGTTGGGAAAAAACGCCAAGTCCTGTAATAGGGGATTAGTTATATAAACTGTGTGTTTATTGAGGAGATATCCATGGGATCTGTTAAGTTAAATAAAAAGTTGGTTGCAAAAGAAAAAAAAAAGCACAGCATAATTTCTTTTCTTTATCGTATGCCAAACGCGTCCGAGCCTGCACAGAACTAGTCTGGCAGGACATAATTCAGGCGTTATCTCCAAGCTGGGATTACAGGTGCTTTTTGATTTCTTCAGCTCATGGATTATTTGTATAATTAGAAGTTTATTTCCGTTTAAGAAAAAAAGGAAAGAAAGTTTGGGCAAAGAAACCCAACAAATGCACAAGCCAAAGATTCTGTGGCCACTCAAGAACGGTGAGGACACAAAGCACAAGCTACAAGGTGGCCCCTGCCACTGGGCCTGAGACTCTCGTCCTGGGAGTAAAGGCTGAGATCATCGTGCAGAATGAGAGTTTTCCACACCACACACTGGGCAAGAGAGTGAGGACGACGACCTCCCCACAGGGCACAACCAGAGCCCAAGTGGAGAGGCCTGTGAAGGAGGAAGGGAGGGAAAAAGAGATGTGCTTGGTGCCATCTGGAGGGCTTCCTGGAAGAGGAAGCTGCCTCCCACAAACTCCTTCCAACTACAGGCATTGCAGGCAGCAGCAGTTTTCTTTAGGGATCAGAATGTAGTTTAAGAGGAGTAATTGTTCCTTCAGAGTCCTCCTTGCAGAGGCTCAGAGCCGTGAGCATCGCAGGCTCCGAGGCCCCCAGAGGAGCTCTAGAGCTCGCCGACAGCGCTGAGCCCCACTTGAGTCTGAAGCACGGGCTTTGCGGGCACTCCTGCATTCAGAGTTAGCGTCGAATCTCCTTGATTAGTGCTTCCCTAACTGCTCACTTGTGTCAATTTTGGAGGCAGACAATCCCTCTGAAACTCACACACTTACCCACCCCTCTGGGCCGGGCAAGGTCTGATAAAGGGCACAGCCTGGAAAAGGATGGGAGGGCGATCAGGAAGAGGCTGGGAGAAAGATAAGGCTGGAGGTTAAAGAATCCATTTCCAGCAGGGAGGGTTTAACAAGGAAGAGAGGAAGGAGGGGAGGGCTGGGGAAGTGAGGGCTTCCCAACGGAGTCCTGCGTTCCTGGATGCCCTCAGTACTTGAGTGGAAGTGAGTTTCCAGATCGTCAACCCCCACTACACTGAAGGATTGGTAGGAAAACAGACCCCCGTTGATCCTGGCTGCTTCCCCTGAACGTGCCAGAGGCTGGACGTGGTGCATGGGAACGCTGTACCCTCCGAGGTGCTCAGGCACCGGGGCACTGATGCACCACAGAAGGACAGAGACTGCGACATGCCCAGGCCACAGAGTGCCAGCCTGGTGTCCCACTCCTGGCTCTGAACCTAGGGCCCCCTCCTCTTATACCACAGGGTCTCAAACCTGATTTTTTAAGGTCCTGGAGGGATTTTCAAGATCTTGCTGCCCCACCCCTAAATTTCAAGATGACCCCTAGAGAGGGGTTGGGACAAGCCCAAGAATAGACCAGCGGAGGAGTGGCAACCCAGCCTGGGCCCAGTGTGATGTGTTTTCCACGACAGGAGTTGCCTCTCAGTTCCCTGTGAAAACAATTTCTGGTCTGATTGCAGCCCCACCCCACCCTGCGGGGGCAGGGGCCACTCTGGTCCCTGCCGTGCCGCTCGCTAAGAGAAGCCCCAGCTGTGCATTCTTCAAGGCCAAGGGAGAGGGGGCAGAGTATCTGATTTCCGAATCCTGCCCTGGGCTGGTGTTCCCACCTCACGGGCCCTCCTCCCCCTGGGCTGAGCCTGAGCCCAGGGCCCCAGGGCGTCGGCTGGGCCAGGAGGGCTCCTCGTGACCCGCTGTCCTTCCTGAATACTCCGGAGGTGGGCGGCTGAGAAGGCAGCTCGCTAAGAGATCTGTTGGCAAGGGTCTGCCCTGCTCTCAGGTTCCTGACTCCTTCTCTCGGTTGAGCTCTCACCCGTCTCCACCTACCACACAGCCGGGCTGCAGGCCAGCAAGGCACTCATTGGAAAGCCTTTCATTCCAGGCGAGAGGTTACCCGGCGGCCAGGCTGGCAGGGGAGAAGGCCTTATCCCAAATTCAACTCTATCTGCACCTGCAGCCGGCCTTCGGCAGCTCCCCTGGGGAAAAGACACAGGTCCATTCAGTAAACAGGCCCATGATTTATATGGAAAGAGCCAACCGGGCACAGAAGGCCAGCAGCCAGCTTGGACGCTTCACCGGGCCTGGGCCTGGTGCAGATTCCAGGTTGGCCCAATCCCTCAGCTCCGAATCCTTGCTGTTCACAAAGGACTCCCTCCCCCTCCGCTGGGGAGGGGAGGAGGGCAGGAGGCAGTGAGCTGTGTTAAAAGAACACAACTCTGGGTTCAAACCCAGCTTGGGCCAGCAACACATCTGCTCTAAGAGTCAAAGTTCTCAACAGTAAAATGAGGTTAAGACCACTGGGCTGGGGTACGAGGGAGCCACTGCAGGCTCCTGAGCCTGGATAAATGCATCACATATATGCCCTGTCCAAAGACCTCTGATAAGGACATCTGTACGTGCCTGGCACAGAGTGCTTGACAAATCAGTTCATTGCTCCCATTTCTGGGATCCCTTAGCTCACCTTGAAACACTGGCCTGGCCAGGGAGATGCAGGTTCAAATCCTGGCTCCATCACATACGAGCTGTGTGCCAGGGCAAGACACTGTATCTCTCTGAGCCTCATGTTCCTCACCTGCAAAATGAGGACAGTAGGAACCACCTCCTAAGGCTGCAGGGAGGGTTAAATGGGCAGTGGATGGAAAGAAGCTGGCACAATGTTGGTACATGTGAGCTTAACCCAATAAACAGAAGTGGGGCCCTCCTTGCCCCTGACTGGCCCTGGGCAGCAACTCCACAAAACCTTCTGTGGTCACTGAGGCCTTGCAGTCCTCCTGCATTGCTGGTCTCTCCCGGCCCCGCAGGGCAATGTGGGCACGAGACTGCAAAACCCTTGGCCCAACTTAAAGGGAAAGCACCACATGAGCCCTACCTGCTGCTGTGGCCATCGCCAGCCGTGACCTGGGTGTGCACCTGCCGCCAAAGGGCCTTCCTCCCTCCAGGACCCCTTTCCTTCCCCTGATTCACCCTGTACACTGTTGCCTGATCTGTCTTCCTAAAGCCAGATCCAGCTGTGTCCGTCCCCAGCTCAGGGACCTGCAGTGGCTCTCAGTACCCATGCAGTGAGGGGAGTGAAGCCTTTTGGGTGTGACTCTAAAGGGTCTGGCTAATCTCAACTCCTGCCAAGCTCTGCTTCCTAGACACACGTTGCCCACTCCCGCCTTCACACCTTTGCATGTGGGGTCTCCTGTGCCAGGAAAGCTGCTCTGTGCATCTGGGCATACTCAAAGCCCACACTTTCTTCAAGGTCCACTTCCCCCTGGCAGCCTTCCCTGATTCCACCCAGCCAGCCTCCTCCTGCCCAGAGAGCTCCCACAGCACTTTCTCTGGCCTCCACGCAGGCACCCACCACCCCCACCCTGCACTGTGGGCTTTGTCCCATCCTCTAACCACACTGTGAGCTCGAGGTCAAGGGTTCCCCCTGGCTCTCTCATACTCCTTCCCCACCTTGTGTCAAGCAGCCCCCAAGGCCAGAGCCCCCAACCCCAACAGGCCACTTGCTGTTCCTGCAGCCTCCTCACACGCCCCGCCTCCTGAGACTCTTCTAGAAACTCCACCAGCATCTGCCTTCCCACTCCTCCTCCCCCTGTGGGACTCTAGAGCCCACCCTGACGCCTCCCTGCCCATGAAGCCCCTGTGATCTCCCCCGAGGGTCCTCCCGACTCTCCCCCTCTGAGAACTCTTCGCTGGCCCCTCCAGGCCCACACGGCAGGCCCCTCCTCTGTGGACCCCCACCTCCAGTCCGAGCACTCCTCCATTCTTATCACACGATAAAGGAGTGGTCGCTTTACTTGTCCCTGTCCCCTGTTAGAACAGGGGCTCTGGTCCGCACCAGAGTCATCTCCACGCTCAAGAAACAGCTGCTGAGCGAAAGTGGGAAGGTGGGAGGGCAGGACAACAGGCTGGGCCGGCTCTGGCCACCTGCACCTACGCTCCCGGCTTCACGCTTGCTCTGCGCTGGATCTTGGCCTTCAGGACGCCCCTCTTCCCCTTCCTTCTCCTCCCAATGCTGAGGTCGCCTCTTCCCAGGCTCCGTGGCCGGTGGGCTCTCCCTCATCTCTACACGGATAAAGACCGGCTTCCCAGGGCTCTGTCTTTGGGTCTTTTCTCTTCTCCGTCCCTCATTCCCTTAGTGATCCAATCCCATCTCACAGCTTAAATACCATCCACATGCTGATGATTCCCAGATTTAAATTTCCAGCTAGGACCTTGTCCCCAAACCCCAGACTCACCTATCTGACAACTCTCCACTCATATTTCCACTTGAGGTCCACAGGCATCTCATGGTTAAC